GGGGCCCAACTTTAACCACCCCGTGAACTATTGTTAGAATGAAGCTCGTCATTGGTGAGACTGTGGCTTGTGTGTTTTTGTTCCCTCTCTCTCGCTCTCTTAGCCCCCGCGGGGGCGCCAAGAGGAGGAGAGTTTTTAGTTTGGAGAGAGGGGAAATAAAAAATAAAATAATAAAGCGGAACGGCAACAGCCGCGGCGGCAGCCGGCATCCACGGCAGCCGCCGCCGTCTGGTTTCCATGGCAACGGGGGGGGGCGGTGGGGGGGAGAGTGGCCTCAGGGTGACTCCACGCTCATTCATTTCTCGCTCATTCATAGCTTATTTCTCACTCGCTCATTACTTTTTCACTCGCTCCTCACTCATTCCTCATCCCTCACTCGCTCATTCATTCCTGATCCCTCTCTCGCTCCTCATTCATTCCTCATCCCTCACTCGCTCCTCATTCATTCCTCATCCCTCACTCGTTCCTCATTCATTCCTCATCCCTCACTCGCTCCTCATTCATTCCTCATCCCTCACTCATTCATTTCTCATCCCTCACTCGCTCCTTATTCATTCCTCATCCCTCACTCGCTCATTCATTCCTCATCCCTCACTCGCTCCTCATTCATTCCTCATCCCTCACTCATTCATTCCTCATCCCTCACTCGCTCCTTATTCATTCCTCATCCCTCACTCGCTCATTCATTCCTCATCCCTCACTCATTCATTCCTCATCCCTCACTCATTCATTCCTGATCCCTCTCTCGCTCCTCATACATTTATCATCCCTCACTCGCTCATTCATTCCTCATCCCTCATTCATTCCTCATCCCTCACTCGCTCCTCATACATTTATCATCCCTCACTCGCTCCTCATTCCTCATCCCTCAATCGCTCCTCATTCATTCCTCATCCCTCTCACTCATTCATTTCTCATCCCTCACTCGCTCCTCATCCCTCACTCGCTCATTCATTCGTCATTCCTCACTCCCTCATCATACCTCACTCCTCAATTCACTCACTTGTCATCCCTGATTCATTCACTTATCATCCCTCACTCATTCCTCTTCCCTCACTTTCTCATCCTTCATTCCTCATCAATCACTCCTCACCCCTCACTTCGCATCCCTTGCTCACTCATCCCTCACTCACTTCTCATCCCTCACTTCTCACTCGCTCCTCACTTCTTATCCCCCCACATCCCTCACTCCCCACTGAGGCCAGCAGGGGGCAGGGCAGGGAGTAGCAGCAGGAGGGCGATGACGTCTCCCAGTAAGATGGCTGCCCTTACCATAGAGTATACTTTGTTATTATTATACTTGTTTACCGCTGAGAGCTTCGCTGAGTCCCAGGATTTAGAAGGGTCTTGGCAATTTTGAGTTTGCAGTTGGGGGCCGTCAACGGCTTCACAGTGGGACGTGAAACCTCCCGTGGCGTTCAAAAAGGGGTACAGGCAGTCCCCGAGATACGAACGTCCGCGCTTACTAACGCAGGCCATGCTTACTAACGCAGCCCGCGCTTACGAACGCTGTCTCCGCTTACGAATGCCCGCCGATGCTTACGAACGCAGCCCGCGCTTACGAATGCCCGCCGACGCTTACGAATGCAGCCCGTGCTTACGAATGCCTGCCAACACTTAAGAACGCCGCCCGTGCTTACGAACGCCGCCTGCGCTTACAAATGCCCGCCGACGCTTACGAACGCTGTCCGCGCTTACAAGCGCCCTTGTTTACGAACGCAGCCCGCGCTTATGCACTGCCATTTAGATGTCATTATTTTTAACCATCCGACTTGTCGTACTTACGGGCTGAACCGTGTAACTATTCTGTTCAGTGGAGCAATCCTCCACGAGATGTAACGAGTCCCTGCAGGTACAACGACAGTGAACCATTCGCCGCGGTGGTGAGATGTTAACTCCCTCGCCTGGTATACAGGAGGTCGTGGGTTCAATCCCGACCCTGACGCCTGCTGTATGTTTGGAGTTTGCGTGTTCTCACCGTGGTCGCGTGGATTTTTCTCCAGGTCCTCTGGGTTTTTCCCTCCACATTGAGAATCAGCATGCGTTCAGAGTTCTTGGCTGCCAAACGATAAGCCACTTCGTTGAGCTATCATTCGTGGCCAGGTTGCTGATGAAGAATAGCGACATAGCTCAATGGGCCTTACCTGGTAAAATAACAAAAAATTGTTTCATAGTTAAGTAAACTCCTTGCTCCACACACTCGGAGGCACACGCCCACGTGCCCTGCTGTAGAAGTGTTCAGCGCTTGGCAGTCCAACCGAACGATGTCAATAATGAAGTGAAGAGCTGAGGTGAATTGCGATTTAGTTTATTGCCTCTTTGTCAATGCCGCCATCCACGGGACTTATCTTTATTTTTTTTTACTACATCAGCTTGTTCCTGGCACGGGCCACACGAAGCGTTATTTGGTGACGCCGCTGCGTCAGCCGGCTGGCACTGCAGTGAGAAGCGCCTGTGACTCGCACACGTGACTCGCACACGTGACTTGCATCTCTGGCTCGCACACGTGACTCGCGCTAAGGGTTGGACCTTGGTTCGATTCCGGTACTCGTGCGGAGTTTGGTGCGTTCTCTCCCGGGTGTGCGTGAGTTCCCAGGCGGCGCTTCTCCGGTTTCCTCGCATTGATGAAAAAACATCCCACACGCACACACACAATGTGACCGGTGGTATTGAGCTCAAAACATTATCGCAATGCTGAAAAGTTCCACTGCCAAACACTCCATTATGATCATAGATAAAGATCCCCCGTGTAGCCTTAACAGACTGTTGGGACAAGTGCTGTTCGCGAGTAGAACCTATGAAAGCCGGCACGGCACACGGGGGGGTGGGTGGCCAGCACGATGCCCAGCTGCCTTTATCTCCCAAGTGGCGATGTTTACTACACACCGCACCAGGTACTCATTTGAGGCCGATTCTACCTAGGGAAGGAGGCCCAGGACCGGTTCAGATAATGGTCACTGGTGTTGGCCGTGAGCGGGAATCGAACTCAGATCGCCGAGTTCATAGCACAGCGTAGCGTTAACCGCGACGCTGTACCACGCTCCCCACTCGGATCTTTGGTCGTCTCTCCATTGGGATCACCAATACCAACACCCGGCCAATTGCCAATAAGTGATGGTGACGTCACCACGGTGCCTGTACCAGGCCAGGTGCACTTTGAGACCGCGTCAAATGTCAAAGGCTCGCTGACAGGAAGGACACTGGACAGACCCAGGTGCCATGGTTTGACTGAGATGACCGGCAGATGCACCAGCTGTGCCCCTCCTACTGTGCCAACTCGCTGCACTTTAGCCGCCCGGCGCTCCGCTCGTCGTAGTGAGCGTCGCTCCTCTGCCCCCAGTTGTCGTTAGAGGGGCGACTGCCTCCAACTTGCCCAGTAGCAGCAGCGTTCTCCACGAGCCTCCTCCATTGGGATCACCACGCACAGCGGCAACAGCAGCAACATCGCCCCCTACAGCGAAAACTTGGCAGGAGCCCGAGAGATTCCGTGAGAGGGGTCCATTGTGCAGCACCAACCTTTAATCAAATTTTGATTTAAAGCTTTCGTGACTGCAGGGATTCATATTCTTGGTTCTTTCGGTAAAGTGACTTTACCGAAAGAACCAAGAATATGAACTTTTAATCAGTTTAACACGTTGGCTTTCGCGACCAATATCTATAATACAGGTTTTTTGGGGTTAGATCGCTCTGATCTCTGACTGTCTTTGATCTCTGTCTGGTTGTCTCTGATCTCTGTCTGGCTGTCTGCTCTGATCTCTCGCTGGCTGTCTCTGATCTGATCTCTATCTGGCTGTCTCTGTCTCTGATCTCTATTTGGTTGTCTCTGCTCTGATCTCTATCTGGCTGTCTCTGATCTGATCTCTATCTGGCTGTCTCTGATCTCTATCTGGCTGTCTCTGCTCTGATCTCTATCTGGCTGTCTCTGCTCTGATCTCTATCTGTGTGTCTCTGCTCTGATCTCTGTCTGTCTCTGCTCTGATCTCTATCTGGCTGTCTCTGCTCTGATCTCTGTCTGTCTCTGCTCTGATCTCTGTCTGTCTCTGCTCTGATCTCTATCTGGCTGTCTCTGCTCTGATCTCTATCTGGCTGTGTCTGATCTCTGTCTGATCTCTGTCTGTCTCTGCTCTGATCTCTATCTGGATGTCTCTGTCTCTGATCTCTATCTGGCTGTCTCTGCCCTGATCTCTATCTGGCTGTCTCTGCTCTGATCTCTGTCTGTCTCTGCTCTGATCTCTATCTGGCTGTCTCTGCTCTGATCTCTGTCTGTCTCTGCTCTGATCTCTATCTGGCTGTCTCCGTCTCTGATCTCTATCTGGCTGTCTCTGCCCTGATCACTATCTGTCTGTCTCTGCTCTGATCTCTGTCTGTCTCTGCTCTGATCTCTATCTGTCTGTCTCTGCTCTGATCTCTGTCTGTCTCTACTCTGATCTCTATCTGTCTGTCTCTACTCTGATCTCTATCTGGCTGTCTCTGCCCTGATCTATATCTGTCTGTCTCTGCTCTGATCTCTGTCTGTCTCTGCTCTGATCTCTATCTGGCTGTCTCTGCTCTGATCTCTGTATGTCTCTACTCTGATCTCTATCTGTCTGTCTCTACTCTGATCTATATCTGGCTGTCTCTGCTCTGATCTCTGTCTGTCTCTGCTCTGATCTCTGTCTGGCTGTCTCTGCTCTGATCTCTATCTGGCTGTCTCTGATCTCTATCTGGCTGTCTCTGATCTGATCTCTATCTGGCTGTCTCTACTCTGATCTCTATCTGGCTGTCTCTGATCTGATCTCTATCTGGCTGTCTCTGATCTCTATTTGGTTGTCTCTGCTCTGATCTCTATCTGGCTGTCTCTGATCTCTCGCTGGCTGTCTCTGCTCTGATCTATATTTGCTTCATTGCTGCCTTACAACACATTGCACTGCCACTGTTGCCGCTCCTTGCGAGGTGAGACTCTGGCCTCCGGAGTTCTCGCCGTGGTTTTCACACAACGCCAACTTGTCGCCGCGTTGCAGCAACCATGCTCGGCCGCGGGGTGAAGAGGAAGGCTCCGAGAGACGACGAAGATGAGGTGGACGACGAGGAGGAGGCGAGTCGGTGGTGCGGACTGCATGCCGGGCTGCAGGTGAGTGGGGCCGGGCGCGTGTCCACACAACGCTACTCGACGCTTGCACAGGGGACTTGGGCTAGAGAAAGGTAGCTCCGCTGTATCCGCTTCTCTGGGCCGTTCTCCGACACAGAGGTGGGGGGGGGGGGTCGCACTGCTCCGATTATAGCATGGTTGGCTACGTGTGCTGCGAAAGAAGCTCAACAAACAACAAAGATCCCCCGTATAGCCTTAACAGACTGTTAGCGAGTAGCACCTATGAAGGCCGCAACGGCACACGAGGGGGTGGGTGGCCAGCACCACGCCCGACTGCCCTTGTCTCCCCAGTGGCGATGTTTACACACCGCTGCAGGTACTCATTTGAGGCTGAGTCGACCTAGGGGAGGCCCGGGACCGGTTCAAATAATCGTGACTGGTGTTTTGCCATGAGCGGGAATCAAACTCGGGTCGCTGGGGTTCACAGTGCAGCACGCTAATCGCTACACTACCGCACACACGCTGCTCTGCGAAGGTTTTCCCAATGGATCACGCCAGCAGCCCAATCAGGATCAAACCGGTCGGGGGAATGACGACAACGACAACAGCGACAAACCAACGACAGGGTCGTCACATTGCCCTTGCATCTCCCTCCCCGCCCCCAGGCCCCCGCCCACCCGGTGAGCCGCCAGGCCATGCTGGACCTGTCCCTGCGCAAGCTGCACACGCCGCTGCGCCGCCGCTCCGAGCCGTGCCTGCGCCGCGCGTTGCTCATCGCCAACACGCTGCGGCACGTCCACGACGAGGGCCGGCGCGATGCGGCGGCCGCCGCCGCCGCCCCCCCCTCCCACGTCTCGCGGACGCCCGACGGTGACGACGAGAAACTGGAATCGCTCTCGGCCGCCATCGCCGCCGTCCTCAAAGACCTCGAGTTCGTGGAAGACGCAGCGGGACAGCCGTGTGACGCCGCCGTGCTGGTGCCGCCCCCTTCCCTGCAGCACCAGCTGCAGCAGCACCAGCAGCAGCAGCGGCAGCACCAGCAGCAGCGCATGGACGCGCTGTTTGGCGTGGCGGCGGTGGCGGCGGCCGGCGGCGGCGGCGGCGGCACCGCCACGGGTTTCCTGACAGAGCTGGCGCTGGAGGACATCTTCTGGGAGCCCGACGCCATCGTAGACGTGTGGGGCCTGGCGAGGGGCGCCGCCGCGGTGGCGGCCGCCGCGGCGGCGTCGCCGTTCTCGGTGGCGGCGCTCGACGACGGCGGCGGCTCGCGGCCGTTCGCGGGCGGCGCCGCGACGGCGGCGGCGGCGGTGCCGTCGCCGCTGTCGCCGCAGCCGTGCCGCGTCGACGCCACCGACATCGGCGATCTGAGCTTGGAGGTCATGGTGCGGTCGTAGGTGTGATGCAGCGTCGATCGGCCGACGTGAGAGCGGGACGGCCGCCCTGCGCGATTGTAACCGGTGCGTCGCCTTCGCGGTTACCTTGGTGGATTTTTTGGGACTGCGTCCGCCCCGGGTGGCGCCGTCGCGTCGCGGTGGATCGGGCACCGGCGCGAGCGGACAACTCCGGAGGGGTCGACTCGGCCCAGTGAGCTCAACTTTGCTGGGGCTCTGGACAGCCGGGGGTTGACCGAGTGCTGCCGGCGAAAATGTGCGCTTGTGTGTGCGGAGACAATGAACAAAGACAAAATCATCATTCGAGCAACCATTAATTTAAAGTATTTATATCGTCGCGACGGCAGCGTGAGGACCGGTGGCGTTTACGCGTACGCAGACGCCTATTTATGAGTTAGTTTTTTCCTCTCTAGTTTAATTTAAATTTGAGGTGAATTAAGTTTTTTTGTATTATCGTCTTAGGACGAATGAATTGAAAGAAAAAAAATTGTACATAAGTTGCGGACGAGATGGCGTGGATCACGTCCCGGGTGCCGTGGAGAACAAATCCACATCTTTACTTTTCAAATACATATATATGTAACATTAAAACAAGTCGAGAACAAACAAGCGTTTTCCACTGGCACATCCGAGCCGAGGTAAGCCGGCACGGAATACAGTCGTGGGTTTTTTCACTACTGACCGCCCCACGCCGTTCCGTACCAGAAAAAAACCCGCGGTCAGGGCTGTGGCCTCGCAACAAACAACGAGACGCCCAAATCTATCCCCGGCGGCCCACGGCAGGGCAACGGGCGAGGCCGGTGACGCGTTCGCCGTCGTCGCGTGGACGTCGGCACACCGCGGGAACCGCGGTGTCACCGCGTCTCCACTTGTACGCTCTCCGTGCGACGTGAGTGGTGGAAAATCAAAGCTAGTGCCGCCCACTCCAACCACCACTCCCCCCCCCCCATTCCCTCCATGAACCGTACCGGGCCAGGCCCGACACGGTTCCCCGGCACGGCGCACGGCTCGGTTGTGTCGGTGGAAGAGAGGTGGCAAGAGGGGACAAGGAGCGGTATTTTTGTAGACGGGGTGCAGTGTTGCGGATTGTGTGACTGAGCAAAGTGCCTGGAAGTGAGGCGGTGAGCCGTGCCGTGCGAGTTCCTCCCGTGGAGCCAGCCGCGTGGACCATACCAAGCGGGTGGTGGGGGGGGAAGACGGTAACACGCGAGGCTCAGCGCGATCGTCAATTGCACTGCGGCCCTTAAACGGTAAAATAAATATATAATGTGTCTCTTACGCTCACGGTGCCGGCGCGTTAAAGGTCACTTACGTGAAGATCATTTACGTGCGATGAAGAAAGGGCATTTCCTGAAACGTCGCCTCTATGAAAATCTATTTTTTTTGTTCATCATCAGGCCGCTGTGCTGTTGACGAATGTGAGGGGTGTTTTGTTAGTTTGCTGTTGACGCCAACGCAGCGGCAACGGCAGCAGCGGCTTCGCGAAATAACTTGTTTAATTTCAGCCGGAAAATGGACCACTGCAACCAACCGACGGAAAGCCAGCGGCTCCGATGTGAACCGCCAAACGGCCAAAACGACCGGTCTTCCGAATTATTCCGCTAAATTCCTTCGCCGCCACTGGAGGGAGCACTTGAGAGAGCCGCCCCCTCTAGAGGGGACGCAGGCGCAAGTCCCCAGTTATGTGTTTTTTCTTTTTTGACTTTCAAAGAATCGTCAAACCCGTGGCGCAACCCGTGCAGGTTTGGGTGCGTCGGGCCACCAAAGCCACGGGCACGCGCGCGGTGCATTTAAACTAATTTTTTTTTATATTTTGCTAGGTAAGGCCCGCTTACCCGACGATGGCTCTTCCTCCGTCAGCCGCTTTGGTTGTAACTCCACGCTGCCGTTATGTTTTGGCGGTCACAAAAAATATCCCGACGCTTCCCCACCCACCCTCCCCCCCCCCAACGTACGACTCTAGCAGCCCCCCCTCCGCCGTGAATCCTCTGTCCGGGTTGTTTGCTCCCCGGTAGTTCCACGGGCAAAATGCGAAACTCGCTAGAACGCATGAACGCGGCCCTCCCGGATTGGGACCGCGCCTTTGAGCACGGTTTTGCACCCACGAGATTTTACCCACGCGCCACTGCGGGCACGCGGAGGTGGGGACGGGTCCGGGGGGGGCGGGGGTGGCATGTCCACGAGTTGAATGCAACGGTGGAAGTAAGAAAATGCTCCACGCGCGGCCCCAAGCTTTTGCACGCACTACTGCGAGGGGGGGGGGAACGGGGAGGGGCACGTTCGTTCGTGGGTCGAGTGCAACGGTCGAAGTAAAGAGACGCTCGGACCCGCAGCGCAACCCGGGAAACCGCGCTCGGATTGCAAGCGGCCGCGAGAACTGTCGGCCCACGGGTAAAATGTACGAATGAATGCTCGTGAGTTGAATGAAAAGCATCTCGGCATATATAGAGGACTGCAGAGCTCGGGGAATTGTTGGTAAAGCCGGCTCCTCACCGCCGGGCTGCCGCCGCCCTCCCACTCGTCTGTGGCTTCTGGACGATTGCGAGAGACGCAGTTTGCGTGGATGACGACGATGATGTAGAATTAAAAAAAAAAATCAAAAACTCAATCCGCGTACGTACGTGCGTTGTACGTCCTTTGCGCTGTACGTAGCCAATCGTGCGAATCGGTGGTGCGGGCGGAAGGACAACGAGCTAAACGCAAGAAGGGGAGCGATCTTGTTGCGGGATGTTTGTGAAAGAGTCAGAGTTTCGTGTCGCCCGGTAAACTCTGTTCTCTCTTCAGCAAGGTCAAAGTAAAGTTGCAGCGGCCCTGCGATTTCTTGGTCAACGCCACTCACTGCTGGAGGAGGTGGGCGGGGTGTGGGGGGGTAGTGTTTTGGCCTACTCTTCCACGTTGGCCAGACCGTCTTGGAAGTGGTGGGAAGAGGAGTACCCACACATGATGATGATGATGGCAATTGAGCAATGTAACTAATTAATAAACATTTTGAATGAACGAACGAGGCATTGCCAGTCAAAGGATGTCATTTTTTTTTGCGGAATGTTCCCAAGCGCACGTCGCGTCGCGTCCCAGCCGTTTCAAATCGAGCGGCCGCTCCGGTTAATACTGCGAGCGTAATCAATTCACAGACACGGCTACGCACCGTCCGCTTCGCTCGCCGTGGACCTTAAAGATCCCTGCCGATGTCATTTTTTTATCCTCTAGATTGAAAACTCATTCCTTTAAGAACTGCTTGTTATGTTTCGTTTGTCCTTCCCTCCGCATCTCCGATTAGCACGGTTGGCTACGTACAGTGCGAAAGAAGTTCACCATACATAGATTAGCACGGTTATCTATGTACGGCACGAAAGAAGTTCACCATACATAGATTAGCACGGTTATCTACGTACGGCACGAAAGAAGTTCACTATACATAGATTTGCACGGTTGGCTACGTACAGTGCGAAAGATGTTCACCATACATAGATTAGCACGGTAATCTATGTACGGCACGAAAGAAGTTCACCATACATAGATTAGCACTGTTGGCTACGTAGGGTGAGAAAGAAGTTCAACATACATGCATACAAACATTCGCGAGAGTGGGGCCACGGTTGTGCCCGTGGCACCATGGTACGAATTTGCCAAGATTCGAAAATGACACCGCAAATGACTCGCCGCTTGGGAACGCCGCGCGCACCGCTGTTTGGTGGCGTCGCCATCCCCGCCTGGCGGCAGGCTTCACGATGCCACCCCAAATGACTCGTGCGAATGAGACTCATCCTGGCCGGTGTCGATATTCCAATCGCGCATCCCGCGAACCGACCACGGAGGCTGTTCGTAGCCAACACCGCGATGCCGCTCGTTTTTTTTAGTTTGGGTTCGGCCGCAGAGTGGTGGTGGTTTTAATGCCGGAATTCTTGCCACTGTGTCGAGGGCAGTGCCGGATTATCCTCGTCGCACAAGTAGCTACAAATGCTACGGGGCCCCGCACTTTCAAGGGCCCCGCACTAAATGCTTTAAAGCTATCAATTCCGGTTCAGTGATTCTGCACTATTACCATAGTACTATACCGCCTTCAACTTTTACGAACGACTGGGTGTTTAAGGTACAGGCCACGCACTAGCTTAATCCGGCACTGGTCGAGGGTCGATGACATTTGGCATTCACCGCAAAAAGCATGGCAGCAGTAGAAGCGGATTACCTGATGCGCAAATGATCATTTGAAGGCTCCCTCCAGTCGTGTGCGACTGTAATCATCCAGAACGGAGATCGTAACAGTGTATTACGACGTGTTGCCCCGATCCACAAATACAAAGGAGTCACATCATGGCGATGATGATACACTACTCCGCTACTACTGATGAAGTTGTCCTGTGGCTTGAGCACCTGAATGTGAAATTGTAGCTGTTGCCCTGCATCTACATCAGCCGTATGAAAGAAGAAGATAGACTCCGCACTGAAGTCCATAGACTCCACACTGCCCATGAACTCAACACTGCCCATAGACTCAACACTGCCCATAGACTCAACACTGCCCATGAACTCAACACTACCCATAGACTCAGCACTGCCCATAGACTCAACACTGCCCATGAACTCAACACTACCCATAGACTCAGCACTGCCTACAGACTTAGCACTGCCCATAGACTCAACACTACCCATAGACTCAACACTGCACCATAGACTCAACACTGCCCATAGACTCAACACTGCCCATAGACTCAACACTGCACCATAGACTCAACACTGCCCATAGACTCAACACTGCCCATAGACTTAGCACTGCCCATAGACTCAACACTACCCATAGACTCAACACTGCCCATAGACTCAGCACTGCACCATAGACTCAACACTGCCCATAGACTCAACACTGCCCATAGACTCAGCACTGCACTCCATAGACTTAGCACAGACCAATGCAACGACGCAATGCCCTATCCACCAATACGAAGGAAACATCACGGCGATGATGATCCGCCACTCCTGCCGCGGTTGTCTGGACTCGACCACCTCAATGTGACAACGCTGCAGTCGTCGTTGGCTCCGCATCTCCATCGGCAGCAGCCGTACGGCGACGCGGCGGCGAAGCGGCAGAAGACGAAGAATAATTGTATTACGTGTTAAACTAAATAATTGTATTGCCCAAATCCTCCCGGTGCATTGTTTAAAACCCCTCGCCAATATCTCGAGGCTCAATGACCAGGGGGGGCGGTGGAGTGCGATTGTTGGCACCGAAACGACTCCGCGAGGACTGCACCCAGCAGCAGCAACAGACGCGGGCGGAATCGAGAGGCGGCGACGCGCCCCATGAATCGCTGCCGTTGCCACGGATGTCTCCACGTCCTGCCGGTGGGCAGAGGAAATCCTGCATCCCCCCCCCCCACCCCGTGTGAGGGCCCGCAGGCCTGGCTCGGCTTGGGGGGTTTTAAACAATGCACCGGGGGTAGAAATCCACGGCAGCTCTCTCGTTTTTATTTTCTTACAAAATACAAAGGCCTCCCACCCCCGTGTAGCCTTGACAGACTGTTGGAGCAAGTTGCTGCTGGCGAGCGTCTATGAAGGCCGGCAAACGGCACGCTAGGCGGTGGGTGTGGCCAAAAATCACGCACGGCCGCCTTTGTCATCCCCAGTGGCTGAGTCGACCCAGCGGAGGCTCAGGACCGGTTCAGATAATCGTAACCGGTGTTGGCCGTGAGCGGGAATCGAACTCGGGTCGCCAGATTCAAAGCGCAGCGTAGCGCTAACCGCGACAACAACAACAAAAACAAGAAGCGCCAGAGGGGTCAAATACTTATTTCCCTCATTAAAATGCAAATCAATTTATTACATTTTCGACATGCGTTTTTCTGGATTTTGTTGTTGTTATTCTGTCTCTCACTGTTCAAATAAACCTACCATTAAAATTATCGACTGATCATTTCTTTGTCAGTGGGCAAACGTACAAAATCAGCAGGGGATCAAATACTTTTTTCCCTCACTGTACATTCACACGTGGTGATGATGATGATGATGTTATCAACGTGCGTTTAGGGAGTATTTGGCTGCTATAAATGTCCACGTGATAAGCCACGACTTGGTTGAGCTATCGTTTGTGATGGCCAGGTCGCTTCTAAAAATGAGCTACACGGCTCAGTGGGCCTTACCTGGTTAAATAATATAGTTAGTTAAACTTATATACTTCTGATACGTATTTCGTGCTGCTGCTGTGTTGGCCATTGCGCACAACCACAACAATTCAAAATATTCATCAACAAGAAGAAACATAATCATTATCAACGTTTAGAGCAATGCCCCTTGATTTTACGTGCTACGAAGAAGGGGCATCGCCCGAATCGTCGCCTATCAGATGTTTCCCTTTTAAGGCCGCAGTGTCTTTGACGCACAACGCGGCGAGTCGGTTTGTGTTCTGGTTTTTATTTATTTTAAAGTCGCCACTGTTGCCCGTCCTTGTGCACCGCTGCCAGCGGAGCAGCAACCATCAACGACCCAATTCGCAATCGGCTACCGGTTTTAACCGGTTGTGGTTTAACGACCCTAATCGGGGGTGGTGTGGGTTGGTGTGTGTTGGGGGGGGGGGTGAGAGGGGAGGGGGGCAGGAGAGGCGTGTCAACGCGCGCGGACGCGCAGCGATGATCCCCCCCATGGGAGACAGCGCGCCCTTGACTGGAGCGGCGAGCGAGGCGTTTTGCTGCGGCCTGAGCACCGTTCGTGCCGCGAAGCCCCTCGGGAACGAACGTCCGCGGAAGTCGCCGGACAGCTTCGCTTCTTCACCTTTCCCGAGAGCACCGCGCGAATCGCGCGGCGACTGGGAAATCTGTGGCCGAGCAGGTAAAGGTGCGAGAGAGAGAGAGGGGGTAGAGAGAGGGGGGGTGAGAGAGAGTTCGTGTCGTGTCGCTCTTCCTCCTCCACCTCTGAAAGAGCGCAGACCACAGTGGATGCACTGTGCGGTCCAGAGTGTGGGTTGCATGGCCACAGTCTCACTCCTGTGGCTTGTGTCTTAATGTATCTCTATGTATCTATATGTGGCTCTATGTATCTCTATGTGTCTCTATGTATCTCTATGTGTCTCTATGGGTCTTTATGTATTTCTATGTATCTCTATGTGTCTCTGTGTGGGTTGCATGGCCACAGTCTCACTGCTGTGGCTTGTGTCTCAATGTATCTCCATGGGTCTCTGTCGCTTTGTGTCTCTATGTATCTCTATGTATCTCTATGGGTATCTGTGTGTCTCTATGTATCTCCATGTGTCTATGGGTTCACTGTGGGGTCCGTAGTGTGGGTTGCATGGCCACAGTCTCACTGCTGTGGCTTGTCTTAATTATCTCTATGGGTCTCTATCGCTTTGTGTCTCTATGTATTTCTATGTATCTCTATGGGTCTCTATGTGTCTCTATGTTTCTCCATGTGTCTATGGGTGCACTGTGCGGTCCAGAGTGTGGGTTGCATGGCCACAGTCGTGCTCCTGTCTCTTTAATGTCGCTATAATCATCTCTGTAAGTCGCTGTGTGTCTCAGGGTTTACTGTGCAGTCCACAGATTGGGTTGCATAACCAGAATCGCACTACTGTGACTTGCATCTTACATGTATGAAGGAGATGCGGTGTAGCATCGAGCCAAATTGATATTCATCGACACCAACAACAACAACAACGGCCGCAATTCGCCACTAAGTGGCGGTGACAGCGCTTGTGCCAGGCTAGGTGCACTCCGAGGCCACGTGAAGTTGTAAAAAGCTCGTTGACAGGAGGCCACGGGACAGACCCAGCAGGTGCCATCGGTTGACTGAGACGAGTGGCCGATGCACCACCTGTACCCCCCACTGTGACAACTTTCTGCGTTTTATCCGCCCTGCGCTCCGCCCTCCGTTGTTGCCGGAGGGCGACTGCCTCCAACTGCCCAGTAGCAGCAGCAACAGCGTCCTTCACGAGCCTCCTCCTCCACAGAGGCTGCGTTACCGGTCATCGTCAAAGTCCACTCAGCTCCACGTCCTCCCGTACCGCATCAGCTTCCATCTCTTCTCCAGCCCGTGCCGCGACCCGTAATTGACACCACCACCACCGGCCCCTCGCCCCCCCGCCGCAGATGGACGTGCCGGCCTTCGCGCCCTTCCCGGCTCGCGCCGCGGGTCTCCCGCCCCTGCCACGCAGCCTTAGCGCCCTGCTGCACTCGAGCCGCGAGAGCTGGCGGGACGCGGGCCGCCTCTACGCCGCGCGCAGCCGCCTGCACGCGGAGCTCCAGGCCACGGGGTCCGGCCACGCCGACCTGGCCGGCTCCTATTCATCCTCCTCGTCATCCGCCACCGCCTCCTCCGCCTGCTACCCGGCGCGTGTCGCCCGGCCGCACGGCCTGGGTGCTGCGTTGGCGCTCCTCCGTCGGGAGATGGTGAGGACATTGTTGATTTGAAGCTTTCGTGACTGCAGGAATCCATACTCTTTGGTTCTTTCGGTAAAGTGACGTTGGTAGAAAATAAAATAAATCACGACGCTTGTGTTGCGCCCGAAACGTCGTGATTTATTTCATTTTATACCTACGTGACTTTACCGATAGAACCAAAGAGTACGAGGACATTGTTGTTGAAAGTCGTGGGATGTTGGGGGGGGTACGTGAATGGAGAATTAATTATTTACCAAAAAAATGTTTATAAAATAATAAATATATAAGAATTATTATTTATACAGGGTGCTTCAAACATTGTTAAAACATGTTTTAAGCACCCTGTAATATTTAATAAGCATTTTATGTAATAATTATTATGGCACAATAAGAACGGCGTATTACCAAATGTGCTAAATAATTATTATAAAATAATATTAAATAAGCAATTAGTTTGTTTTATTTGAAGCTTTCGTGACTGCAGGAATCTATACGCGTTGGTTCTTTCGGTAAAGTCACGTAGGTAGAAATTAAATTAAATTAAAACAAATCACGACGTTTCGATTGCAACACACGCAATCATAATTTTCTTGCTGTGGTTTTCCCACCTGATGATGATTGCTTGTGTTGCAATCGAAACGTCGTAATTTGTTTTTATTTTATTTCTAGCTACGTGACTTTACCGAAAGAACCAAAGAGTACGCAATTAAATTTTGATTTAAAGCTTTTGTGACTGCAGGGATTCATATTCTTGGTTCTTTCGGTAAAGTCAGGTATTGTTTAATATTTTTTATTATTTTATTGTTTCCCTTCTACGTGACTTTACCGAAAGAACCAAGAGTACGCAATTAGTTGCTTAAAAAAATGTTTATTTTTTTGGTACATTTTTGTATGACGCCGTTCCTATGGCACAAGGCCAACACGAATGAGGGCGCGATTGGTACAGAGGAATCCCTCGGCTTACGAAAGGCGACGATGATGTCGCCCTTCAGATGCACACGCGGGAAACGCAATTTCGTTAATCGGAATGGCTCTTGCCATTAATTTGATACTAAAAAAAACCCTGAGGGGCGTGTGTTTGGACAGTTATTTTAACTCCATCCCTAACCTAGTGATACACAACGATATCACTTTTTTCACAAGACAAAAATTGTAATAATGAACGTACATGTTATTACGATTGCATAATAACTGATTTTTTAAATGTGTATTACATATTGTCAACTAATTTAAAATTATATTCTTGGTTCTTTCTGTAAAGTCACGTAGAAGGGAAACAATAAAAGAATTAAAAATATAAAACAAGAAAAATATTTTTCATTATTTTTTATATTTTATTTTATATATTTTTATTATTTATTGTTTACCTTCTACTTGACTTTACCGAAAGAACCAAGAATATGAATCCCTGCAGTCACGAAAGCTTTAAATCAAAATTTAATTTAAAATTAGTTATGAAATGTGAATGTTTTTAAATGACATTAAAACATATACCTTTGTAGATTGGCTTTAAATTATGATGCCCTGATTATCTGCTTATTATGCCTTTTGTTATACTTTTAGGTAATTACTTGACGTCTTTTTAACGTATTCATCTTATTGTTATTAAAATTGTGTCAGTCGATTTTCATTTGCCTTGTAAATCACTTTGTATTGCATTTTATGCACGAATTGTGCTATGTAAGTCAAGTTTTATTTGATTTGAACCTTTTCAGAGAACTCACCAAAAGATCTGCATGCTAACAATTCCATGACCACTGCCACTATCGTCACCATCACCACCGCCATCACCATTATCATCATCACCACTGTGGCAGCTGACGCCGCTATTGCCGTCAAGCACACCACCAGCTGGACCACGTCACCACCAACATCACGTTGAGACAATGCTGTAAACGTTCGCCACGACCGCCAGCAACAACACCAACCTAGAAGCCACACCACCGACACCGAACTATTGCCTCCATCAATGTTATTGATGCCACCACTGCCAACACCACCACCAACGTACCAGAAACAAAGACAAAGATCCCCCGTATAGCCTTCACAGACGCTTGGGGCAAGTGCTGTTAGCGAGAAGCACCTATGAAGGCTGGCACGGCAACACGAGGGGGTGGGTGGCCAACACCACGCCCGGCCGCCTTTGTCTCCCCAGTATTGAAGCTTATACACCGCACCAGGTACTCTTTTGAGGCCGAGTCGACCTCGGGAAGGCCCAGGACCGGTTCAGATAATCCTCACCGGTGTTGGCCGTGAGCGGGAATCGCACTCGGGTCACGGGGTTCGTTGCGCAGCGTAGCGCTAACCGCTGCACCACCGCTCACCACCACCACCACACGAGGAGGGACTCCCAGACACAGTCTAGAGTAGGTTCACAGGAGGGGGGTGGGTGGGTGGTGGGGGGTGGGGTGAAATGTGGGTGGGGGGTGGGTGCGACCTTCCTCTGAGTAATCCCAATTGGGGAAGGTGCATTGTGATTTCTTAAATTTGGCTAATTTGGAGCATGACGGGCGCACATTCTTGCTCGTGCTCAGGGTTGCCTGCCACCCGTCCTGCTTTTGTCACCGGAGCGACCTCGGGTCGAGGAAGCTAAACTAAACTATTCAAACTATTCTCTATTTTACCAGGTAAGGCACACTGATCTGTATAGCTCCTTTTCAGAAGCGACCTGGCTATAATAAATGATAGCCCAACGAAGTGGCTTATCATCATCACGTGAAAATGTATAGCAGCCAAACACTCCAACCACGTGAGGTTGTTTCTAAATGTGGAGGGAAAAACTGGAGGACCCGGAGACAAATCCACGCGACCATGATGAGAGAGAGAGAGAGGCACAAACTCCAAATATGCAGGTGACAGGGTCGAGATCGAACCTACGATCTCACGCATACTAGGCCAGGTAGTTCACATCTGGACAGCCCGACTATTCTGTTCTTGCATATATGATGCAAATATGTTCAGGAGCTCAATGCCAATGTCGAGGTCTGCTGCTGGCCACGACGAGAGGGCTTCAGCAGACAGAGAGAGCCTGTGTGGTGCTGCTGTTCCCCCCTCTTCCGTTGAATGAGCACAGACCACGGTGGGGTTCACTGTGCGGTCCGTAGTTGTGGTTTGCATGGCCACAATGGCACTCCTGCTGATGTGGTTGTGCCTTTAATGTTCAATCCCTGAAGGAGATGCACGCCTCGACCTGCTGATGATGTTCTGATGGTCACAGCGCCAGCGTCTTCGAGGAAGAATGCCGAAGCCAGGAGGAGGTGCGATGATGCTTGGGTCTCGAACAGAAGAGGCGTTTGTTCTGTACGTCGGCGTTGTTCCACTCCTATGATGGTCGCTGACTGCAGCAGCAGCAGCGCGATCCCAGAAGGGATGGGATCGGGGCTTGAATCGGCGGTGGTAAGGAGACGGCATTGCTGAGGTCTTGGTTGATGGGCGGCCGGCGGTTGCCATGGGCACGACGCAGCCCGACTGATGTAGACTGTCTCTCACCCCCCCCCCCCCCACCGTGCTCCTCAAGGTGGGCCTGCGGCAGATGGACCTGTGGCTGCTCTGCCAGCTGTGGACCCTACAGGAGGCCCTGCTGGACGTGAGGCCTTGCTCAGGCCTGGGGCCCCGGTCCCCTCCGCTTGCTGCCGTGGACAACGCCGGCGGTGGAGGCCTCCGAGCTAAAGGGGACGTGTTCAATCCCTGGACGGGGCCAAGTGCCGGAGAGACAGAGGGGCGACAGACAGGCACGAGCAGTGAGCCCCAGCAAGGGCGGTCGCTCTTCATCAGCATCTGAAGAGGTGACCCCCCCTCTCCACGTCTTCAACAGCATCTGAAGAGGTGACCCCCCCTCTCCAACTTTTCAACAGCATCTGAAGAGGTGACCCCCCCTCTCCACCTCTTCAACAGCATCTGAAGAGGTGACCCCCCCTCTCCACCTCTTCACCAGCATCTGAAGAGGTGACCCACCCCCCACTATGTTCCACCTGCCAGACCACATGGGAGCTGTGACAAGAGTCGACCTTTGTAAGAGTCCACCTCATGCGAGGCAGCGTTACGCAAGTCGGCATCACACGGGTCAACCTCACGCGAGTCGACCTCACCGGAGCCAACCTCTTACAATCACACTCACGCGAGGTCGACCCCGCATGAGTACACCTGAGTCGACCCCGAATGAGTACACCTGAGTCGACCCCGCGTGAGTACACCTGAGTCGACCTCACCTGAGTCAACCTCTTACATGCAGAGTACAGGTGTGTCGACCTCAGTCAACATGACCAAGAGTCGGCGTTACTCGGAATCATCAGCATCATCATCCGTCCTCGCGATGGGTCACTCTCGCGGGAGTCCACCTGCCGAGTCATCCATCGTCAACCGGTTTGCGGGCCCCATGAGATGATGGAGCTGCCCCGCTGTTTGGTCCACGGATTGAAGACTGCTGACCACCCCATGTGTTAAATCTCTTCTGTGTGTGTGTGACGGATCTGTGTGTGTGTGTGTGTGACGGATCTCGAGATCCAGATCCGTCACATACACAGACCCGTCACACACACACACACAAATTCCTCACACACACACACAGAGATCCGTCACACACACAGATTCCCTGTGTCCTCCCTGCTTGTAACGGTCGTTAATTTATCAATAAATGCCGCGTTTGTAAATTAAATGGTCGTGTTGTCAATGGGAATTGTGTTATTGCTGTGCTTAACCACGTGGTAAACATTAATAGGGGAGCGAGCGTTGGCGCTGCAGTAAGCGCGGCGCGCCAAGAACCCGGCCGTGGTGTAACATCAGCGACCCACGTGGTGTAACATCAGCGACCCACGTGGTGTAACATCAGCGACCCACGTGGTGTTTGGGGGGGGAGAGGCGTTCATCCAGCAGTGGATTGTATGCAGTGTATGTGGAACCTCTTTCGCACCGTACGTAGCCAACCGTGGCTAATTGGAGGTGTGCGGGAAGGACAACAAACTAAACACAGCAAAGCAGCTCTAAAGGAATGAGTTTTCAATCTGGATAATCACTTCAAAGTGCATGGCTCCAGTGACTTCGCAGCCACTGTTAACACTAGTGACAAGTGAAATCAAGTGTAGCGGTTAACGCGCTGCGTTACGAATCTGGCTACCCAAGTTCGATTCCCGCTCAAGGCTTTATGGTGGATATTTGCCTTGTATGTATGTTGAACTTTTTGATTTAAAGCTTTCGTGACTGCAGGGATTCATATTCTTGGTTCTTTCGGTAAAGTCACGTAGAAGGGAAACAATAAAATAATAAAAATATAAAACAATAAAATTCTCACAACGTTTCGACTGCAACACAAGCAATCATCATCAGGTGTGAAAACCACAACAAATGTTCTTATATTTTGTATTATTTTATTGTTTCCCTTCTACGTGACTTTACCGAAAGAACCAATAATATGTTGAACTTCTTTCGCACAGTACGTAGCCAATCGTGGCTAATCAGAGGTGTGGGGGAGGAAGGGAAAACTAAACACAGTAAAGCAGCTTTAAATGAATGAGTTTTCAATCTGGATGATGATTTAAAAGTGCACAGCTACCAGTGGAACAAACAGATCGAATGACGACCTGGACGTTTCTACCAGGATATGATCGGGAAGATCTTTCCGAAGTATAAAGTATCTTCCAGAGTAGGCACAATCTACCTACATTGAAAGCATCTTCTGAAATGGGAAAACATCTCTTGGCGTAGATGGAGCCTTCCCGAAATTAGCAAATACTTCCGGAATAAGAAGGGCCTTTCGGAATAGAGAAGCATCTTTCGGAATAGGATTGACCTAACGGAATAGGATTGATCTAACGGAATAGGATCAGATCAAAATGTTTATTTATACTGCAGGAGGTATTCGATGAGCTATCAAGCTCTTTTTCACATGTCCAGGTAGGGCACCTTGATAGTACTTTGCACTCTGACTTAAAACTTTTGTGACTCCAGGAATTAATATTCTTTGGTTCTTTCGGTACAGTCACGTAGATAGAAAAAAAAATTGAATACGAAAATAATACAAATAGTAATAAGAAATATTTATTTTATTTATTCACTAGATTTTTATTATAATTGTTCAATCTACGTGACTTTACCGAAACAACCGAATACGACTTTGCACTCCTATCGTGTTTTGTGTCACTGTTGTTGTCACGTTCTTACCCACGTGACCCTACCTGGACAGCTGTGAACAAAAAGAGCTTCATAGCTCATCGGATTCCTCCTGCTGTATAACTACAGATTCTGATTCTCAGACTAGAAATAGCATTCCCGAATTGGGAAGATATCTTACGTAGTAACAAAGTTAACTTCTGGAATATTCATTTGGGTTCGGTGGGGTGGGGGGCTCGGTGAGGGGGCGGGGCTCGGTGGGGTGGGGGGGCTCGGTGAGGGGGAGGGGCTCGGTGGGGTGAGGGGGCTCGGTGAGGGGGCGGGGCTCGGTGGGGTGGGGGGGCTCGGTGGGGCGGGGCTCGGTGAGGGGGCGGGGCTCGGTGAGATGGGGGGAATCGGTAGAGGGGCGGGGCTCGATGGGATGGGGGGGCTCAATGGGGGGGGGGGGGGCACGGTGGGGGTCGCGCGCTCGACCAAGTGGGCGCCGCCACTGCGCATGCGCGCCGCCATATCGTCACCGCCGCCTTCCCGCCATGTCGCGCTACGGCGGAGGTTTGTGGGGGCCGTCGCCTCGCGCCTGCTTTTGGTCGCCTTTTTATGTTTGATTGTTGCTGCGTAACGACGACGACGACGACTCGTCCCCCACACCTCGTCGAGCCACGGCGATGGCCGAGAGGAGATACGCGCGCGGTCACCTCGTGATCGCCACGCTAGCCGAGAGCGCTGGTGCTCGCTGAGGCTACGCGGCCTTAGTTGGAGGCGGCCCTCAGAACACGAGAACGCGTCAGGGCCTGGGGAAGTGTTAAAAATGTTTTAACGTTCTGCAATTTATTACGATTAATGTTGAGGCGAGCGGGTGGGGAGGACAAAACGCCGAATTGTTAATTGTCGACAGCGTTGCTTTGGTAGGCGTTCGAGTGGTGCGGTTTTGTCGCCGTTGAGGTATTGTGAGGAGTCTTAAATCAGAACGTAGGACCCTTTCGCGACCAATATCCATAATACAGGTTTTTGCGGGGTGTTTGATCGCGTAAATATAAATGCGTCGTTAAACACGCCACCACCCGACACAGTGAGGCTTGTAACGTAAACAGAACGTGCCAAATCGTTCCTAGTACAGCACACCGGTGTGTTGGTGAGCAAATCCATAACATTGACGATCGAAATCGTTGACGGCAATCGCTACGCGTGGCCGTGGGATCCCGATTTGTGGTTTGAAAGGGCAACTATCGGAAGAATTCCGTCATTTGTGTGGAGTTTTTGGTTGTTAACGTAAAGCACAAATGTGTTTTGAAGTAGGGTCCCGCCTGCTTTTCCACGCTGAGAATTATTGTGCCGCTAACCCTGACGCAATTAGCTGGCTCAACAGACTCCCGTGTAACAACGTAAAGAGTAGTGAGCTACATCAACAGCCACACGAAGACTTAATTGTGTTAACCAAAGAAACTCAACAGATTCGTCAATAACACTGCCTTGAAAGAAGCAAAATATTGCACGTGTGCCATGTAGAAGGGTCATTGCCCGAAGCGTCGCCGATTTAAGTGTTTGCGAACGTGAGGGTAATATTTGTGCATCTGTAGCCAACGCATCAGCATCACCAATTGTAATATTTCGCAGTACTGTACTGTGCGTTTATTCAAGCGAGCTCCGAAGCGTTTATTTTATGGGTCTCGTCAGCAGTCTTAATACTCCTTGAGATTAGTCATTCATATAGTTCGGCGTCAATGTAGCTTCATAATATTGGTTTGGTTACGATATATCCACATTTTTTGTATATGTATGATACTCTTTGGTTCTTTCGGTAAAGTCACGTAGGTATAAAATAAATCACGACGTTAAGGGCGCAACACAAGAGTCCATCATATTTTATTTTATACCGACGTGACTTCACCGAAAGAACCTAAGAGTATGGATTCCTGCAGTCACGAAAGCTTCAAATGAAGAATGTGTACGATGTGTCCTTGGTGGCATTGTCTCAACCGGTACATATTAAGCAATTGCACTATTTTAGTTTTACCAGGTAAGGCCCCCAATGAGATATATTCCATATGCGACCCGACTACCACAAATGATAGCTCAACGAAGTGGCTTATCATGTGGACATTTATAGCAGCGGACAAATACCTCTAAACGCTTGGTTCTCTAACATTCGTCAATACGTATCGTCAGGATAAGACTCGTTTGTTTGCGGCTGCAAGCTTTATAGGCTTTTTTTGACAGCGCACTGCTTTAACTAACTTCCACTCGAGGTGTGTATAATTATGTAACTGGCCATGCAACGCGACATTTGTGCGTACGAGCAGGAAGCATTCTGGTTTTGACCACTAATGCGTAACACTTGACACGTTTGAAATGTCTAACTGGAGGCTGAAGTAAGACGAATTGAGACATTCTGACTGAAGTGAGGAGAAATCTGAGAACTCCGTGCATTTAAATATTGCCAACATTTTGAGTCTTCGCGGGAAATAGGACGACGATTTCAGAGAAGTGGGTTTTTTTGCAAGGAATAGAGAGTGAGTAGAGGACTTTAGACAATTGCCCAGCTAACGTTAAGTCGATTCGCTCCGGGCTAAGGTAATTCAAATGCAGTATATTAAATTACAAACGATGAAGATTAATATGTAGACCAAATATATGAAGCAGTTAACCAGCTTCTAAATGGCAGAGCACACTCCGTCATAAAAAGCGAGACTACAATGCAAGGAATTTTGATTTAAAGCTTTCGTGACTGCAGGGATTCATATTGTTGGTTCTTTCGTTAAAATCACGTAGAAGGGAAACAATTAAATAATAAAAATATAAAACAAAATTCTCACGACGTTTCGACTGCAACACAAGCAATCATCATCCGGTGTGAAAACCACAGCAAGATTTTTTTATATTTTTTCAAAAATTGATTGCTGGTTTTCATACCTGATGATGATTGCTTGTGTTGCAGTCGAAACGTCGTGATAATTTTTATTGTTTTGCGTACCAGAGGGCCGCAGAAGCGCATCTGAAAGCGCACGATGCGGTGACCACCGTCTTTGTTCGACAGCTAGCCAAAAGCCGCGTAGCTGCGAGGATGACCGGAGTTCGCCTGATGGTTTATGCTCCCAGACGAGCTCATGGTAAAGGAGACGGAGACAATACACAGGCATGGAGAGATGAGACAGATGGTGAGGGAGAAACAAGGACAGGTGAGAGAAGAATAAGACAGTGTAAATACAAACACGTGGGATGGGGAATATATAAATAAGTAATATTAAAAACTACTTTTTTTAAAACACGCTTTAATGAAATGTACCCTACTATTAATGGAATAACTCCACGACTCCAGGAAGTGGCCCCGAAGCTTGCCATAACGTAAGGGACCGTGGTGATTTACAGCCAACGTTAGTTGAGCGTGGACAATTAGACCCAAGCCGGAACATAACATATAAAACAATGTATACAAATATATATTTTTAATGCTAGAATATTGTATTGTCATCAGTATGACATAAGTATACCAAGTTTGCAGTTGATACCACATTGAGAAGTGGGTAAAAATTGAGTTACAAGATTTGAAGATACAACAGACAATGAAGGTCGTGATCTGAGCGTGGCTTTTTTCACTCCAGCGCTGTCCTCCAGACAGTCTCGTCCCTTCACCTGATGAAGGCCGCTTGTGTTGTGGCCGAAACGTCGTGATTTTTGTTATTTTATTTTTTACCTACGTGACTTTACCCAATAGAACCAAAGAGTATGGATCCTAGCAGTCACGAAAGCTTTAAATCTAGAACAGACAGTGAGTTAATAGAAAGCGTGTAAAAATAGGGAGGTGCAAGATCATAGTGAGACGGACATTGTGATAGAGGAAGCCAGATGGAGATGGAGAGCAAAAAACAACAGACAGACGCGAGATGCATAAGGAGACAATTTTTACGAAACAAAAACATTAAACAAATTGTTATTTTGCTTTGGAATAAAATTGACTGAACATGGCCTTAAATTTATTTATTAAATTAAATTTATTTTCTACCTACATGACTTTACCGAAAGAACCAAAGAGTATGGATCCCTGCAGTCATGAAAACTTCAAATCTAGATCGCCTTGATAATATATTTGTCAGAAGAGAAAGTTGTATTCGGTGCACCCTAAGGTATAACAGTGCTGTTTGGAAAACACTCTTCAAGCCGAGGTGCAGAAAACATGATTTGTTCCATCTTTTCTCACCTGCCGGCTTTTCCCACTTCAGAGAGGCGTCTTACAGTGATATTTACTCGGATTGTAAATGTTGTGGATTTTCTCTCCAACACACTGGTGTGCTGTACGAGTCACGAATTGGCACGTCTTTTTACGTGACAAACCTTACTAATTGGCTGTGTCGGGTGGTGGCGGGTTTAACGACACATATTTACCCGATCTAACCCAAAAAAACTCTTATTACAGATGGTATTGGCCGCGACAGCCTACTGGGTGTTAAACTGTATATAAGGTTAATGCACCCTGCAGCGTTTACCAGGGGCGGTCGTGGGGCCTGAACGGGCCAACCTCTACAACAAGCTACCAACAACGCCACCACTTGGCCATGTCACCGGCCCATGCAGATGAGAAGAGTCGTTTCTATGAGTAACCCTGTACTTTCCTCTTAACAGGAATTTCAGCCTCACTTGAGTTTCATGGCTCAGGATAATTTGACTCGGACTTGGGGGTCAATTATATTTACAAGCAGTGGTTGCCATTGGGGGTGCTACAACGGTTAACGTATCACACTTTTAAACACAAAACGTGTTTAAATGTTTTCGTCAATAGTGATCATAATAATACATTGGAAATGACAAGTGATTATTTTTAAACATGTCTGTAAATAAAAAAAAAAGAAATTGCGTGCATTTTACCTTTTGGAGAGTACAAAATTTTCCCCCGTGAGTAAAGCGGTGTCGTGTCCGTGCTTGTTGTCGAGTGTAAGGTGTAAGTGGGCAATCTAGGAACCAGGGCTGCTAAGGGCAAATTGTGGCAAGCGTTTGGATACTATGGCGCGCTGCGTAACGTGTGGGTGGCCCGTAATCCGCCTGCCGTTGCCTTTGTAGAATATGAGGACACGAGGGACGCAGAGGACGCTGTGCGGGGACTGGATGGGAGGTGAGTCACACTGCTCTTGCCCTCACCGCACGCTGGGGCAACCCACACACGCACTGCACTCGCACCTCCCGATTAGCACGGTTGGCTATGTACAGGGCAGAAGAAGTTCATCATACACACATACACAGGGCTCCATAAGAGGGCTGCCACGACGTGGCAGGACTAGAAAAAAAAGGTAACTTCGGTGCGACCCTGCAATTGCTTGCTCACGCCACTGGCATGCAGAAGGCCCTCTGCGAGAGCGAACTCCACAGTCTTTGGTCTACTCTTCCACGTTGACCAGATGTGTTGGTTTACTTTGGCTTGTGCCTGAAATGACACTGTGACATGACATGAAGCTGGTGTTGTTGACATTTTTTCATTTGAAGTGTGACGATCTTTTTCCCCTGATAGGCAGGGGCTGCATTCTCTAGCTATGATGTAGGCGCTTAAAATGCAGAAACCCCGACTGGAATAGAACGCCATAATGTGTTGTCCTACGTCTGCCATTTGTGAAACAACGGATTGTAGCTCTTCGACATCTTTTTCGTGCTGTGCTGTGTTGGCATCTGTGTCCAACGTTTCTCACCACGTTGCTGGGAGATTTTTCAGGAACCGAATATTTTACAGGCATTATTGAATACAATTCGGTTCCTCAAGAAGGGCCCGGCACGTGGAGCTAAATGTCTTGGTGTCGTGCCGAACTACATGGGGGGGGGGGGGAGAGGGGGGGTACTAGCCGAAAATATAAGGAGAGCGTCATAGCAGCGTGAGCACAAAAACCCCCAGCAGTTGTAGTCGTTACCATCATCACGATCCATGATGGGCAGATAGCCCGTAGGTGTCAACTACACATTTAATAATTTGTTTCCGCTTTCTGTCTGCTGTGCCAATATGCTCATGTAACACCACATCTTTCAATATGCTCATGTAACACCACATCTTTCTGGCACCAGTCTCTTACGTCGTCGTCGTCAAGCCATTCTCTGATAGGCCTTCCTCTCTTTCCGGTTCCTTTCATTTTTCTGAACAACAAAACGCTTTTAATTATCCTGTTGTCCATCCTATATGTGTGTAGTGACAATTTCCTTCTCAGCATTGCTTGCATCAGTAGCCGAGTCTATGAACACTTCATGCAACCTCAGTTGTATGGGTCGGTTGACGTTTATGACATTTAATACGGAAACAGATGTGCGGCACAGTGGACGAGGCGTCTTGATATTGTGCGTGCGTATGTTGAACTTCTGTCTGCTGTGCCAATATGCTCATGTAACACCACATCTTTCAATATGCTCATGTAACACCACATCTTTCTGGCACCAGTCTCTTACGTCGTCGTCGTCAAGCCATTCTCTGATAGGCCTTCCTCTCTTTCCGGTTCCTTTCATTTTTCTGAACAACAAAACGCTTTTAATTATCCTGTTGTCCATCCTATACGTGTGTAGTGACAATTTCCTTCTCAGCATTGCTTGCATCAGTAGCCGAGTCTATGAACACTTCATGCAACCTCAGTTGTATGGGTCGGTTGACGTTTATGACATTTAATACGGAAACAGATGTGCGGCACAGTGGACGAGGCGTCTTGATATTGTGCGTGCGTATGTTGAACTTCTTTCGCACCGTATGCAGCCAGTCATGCTAATCGAAATTTCATTTTGAATTGGCCAAACATCTAAATGACTCGACTTGGTGAGTCTTTCCAGGATGAATGCATGAAAAAAAATCAAGTTAAACCTTTGAGGAGAAAGTGAATGGTGAATGAAAATTGAGCGCTAGGCTCGATTACTTTTCAAGCTGTCCACGCATCAAGTATTGGGGGCTTGTTTGCCAAGAGTATAGGTTACTAGGAGATAGAGTTGAGCAGTAAATTGTTATGGTTGGTTGACAGCATCATGCCTTGTTCCACATTTATCTTTTGCCAACAACAGGTCTGTATGGCCATCTCTGTTTAGACAGATGAATTTGCGCACTCTCCCGGGATAAGTTGTGGTGATTTTATTCCCATAAATATTATAAATGCATTTTATTGCATATTTATAATTTCCTTTAGCTTCCATTCTTTGTGTTTTAAAATAAAAAAATAAACTATTAGACAGTGAAGGTTTCTCTCAGGGTACGTAGAAAAACATTGGTAATTCCTATTATCCCACCTTAAGTCAGCCTTTTATAAGTAATATGAATACTTTGTTAGACTGAGAAAACCCATCAGAGTTGTCTTGGTGGCTTTGCCGGTGGCTTTGCTGGTTTTTACTGGATTTGCCGTGTGTTGTCCTTCCCCCGCACCTCTGATTAGCACGGTTGGCAGCGTACGGTGCGAAAGAAGTTAATACATACGTACGTTGAGCCTGAGCTGTACCTGACCAACAACAAGCAAGAGGCAAGCGAGTATCGCACACTTTGCGTTTATAAGGCAATTACCCAAAGATCTGCACTTTATAATATTTATTAGTGCCGTTACATAATCCCAAAAAGTCTGCGGCACGTGTCTGATTGTTCACGATTCCTTGATTTCTTCTGCAACTTAATTCAAAATAATTTCACGTAGCTGCTCCCAAGTTTTGAAACCAACCCTGTTGTCTTCTCTTTGGATTACCACTCTGCTATCACTCTAACTCTTTTAAACATTCATTCTTGATGTTTCAAACAATACAAATGCGATTATACGGAATTGTTTCGTAAGATCATTTGGTTTTTATTAACTTGACATTTTTATATTTTATATCTTGTTTATTTACTCTTGCTGCTGTCTTGTCTGCCTACCGAGTCACCCTTGAAAAAAAGCTGTATGGCTCAATGAGTCATTTACTCAGATAATAAACATCGGATTGTGATAGTCCTTCGAAGATCGTGCGCGTCTGCGCTTAACTAATCCAAGGCAGTCCCTGTCTCCGTTGGCCTGCCCTGGCCCCCAGCGGTGGAGATGCATTATTCCTCTGGTGGTGGTGGGGGGGGGGACATTCTTATCGGACAACCACCGTGGGAGTCCCCACAAAGTGGTGCGGTGGGAAGTCTCCAGTGTGTTATTGACCTCGGACGAGTGATGGGCATGGTTGTCTCTCATTCATTGTGCTTAATACGGTTTGAATTACCACATGTTCAATTTCACAGCAATGGCCTTGGGGCAATGGGACACAACCGTATGATTACAACGCATTAACATGAGGATCATTTGGGGCTTTTATCATTAATAAATGTTCTTGCCCAACAAGTTCAGTTCAGTGCGATACGCATTTAATCGCTGTGTCCGAGGTAAAGTTTGTCCTGGTTAAGCGTGTGGCAACTCGAGAGACCGGGACAGTCTCAAAAGCCCCAATGATCCTTGTCAACGCCTTTAGATCATGAGGTTCTGTGGCCCATTGCTTCCAAGGCCATTACTGTGGAATTGGAACATGTGGTTATTTAAACTGTATCAAGCACATTGGATGAGAAGCAACTGTGCCGATCATCTGTCTGGAGAACAGTACACAGGTGTACTGTATATAGGAGTAGTTTATACAGTAGTTGTATACGACAGCACAAGAAGGTCAGTGCTGTTTGCAATTGAGTCGGCTGGCGCCACCACTTGGCAACGTCCTGAAGCGCACGGCAAAATGCCGAATGGCTTTTGGGACTTTTTTTTAATTCGTGAAGGAAGATTTGCTATTGCCGTCTATGACAGATGCCGGTTAATGGAGCATTGCAAATGGTAAAGTGCCGGATAGCAGAGTTTTTCTGAAATTGCATTGTGTAATTTCCCATATCTGACAACCAGTCTTGTAAGGAAGACCTGGGGAAATGTACAGAAAAATCTAATACAGGTGCAAGGGTAGTGAAGTAATGCACAACTGGATCAAAACTATGAAGAGCAACACTTGCAAAAATTTTCAGTGAAAATTACTTGGTTCTGTAACAATCCCTTGCACGTCTTTTGGATTTGTAGTCAACGTGACATTGCTTTTTTGGCCCCCTCTCCAGGTTGCTCTGTGGGTCTCGCGTGAGCGTGGAGATGTCCAACGGCGTGGGCCGGCGCTCGCGCTTTGGCCGCCCACCGGCACGCCGCCCCTTTGACCCGACGGACCGCTGCTACCAGTGTGGCGAGCGCGGCCACTACGCCTACGACTGCCACCTGTACGGGCGGCGCAAGCGAGGCGGCAGGTGGGGCGCTCTCTCTCCCGCGTGTGGGCATTCAAGCGCCTTGTCAGCACCAGCACTCACCTGCATGTGTCTGTGTGTGAACGAGGGCGTGCACGTGTGTGAGTGTGTGTATTTGAATGAGTGTGTGTGTGCGCGCGTGCACGTGTTTGAAAAATCAATGTGAGAATGTTAAGTTTCGCTGCCGTTATAAATACCACATAGTGTACGCTATAAAACCAGGCACCCCCTTAATTGAGATTTCTGTGGGGTTGCCCTAATCGAGGTTGCATGGAAACATGAAACCAATCACTTGCAAGTGTTTGTTCTTTGAACAAAAACTCAACATGTGATAGTGTGTGGGTGAAAAATATACAGGAGGTGGCGATGTGATGATTCAGAGCAAGCGTTCAGTCAGTCACTCAGTTTCTATTGGTTAAGGCCCATTGAGCCAAAAAGCTCTTTTTAAATTTGTAGCCTTTGGTGGCAGCTACTGTGATTTTGAAGTACAACTTAGTCTCGAATATAAATTAATTATTCTGTGAAAAACATTATTGGGCCAGTGTGTCGGCCAAACACTCCAATTAATGTGAGAGATTTGGTTGGTGGATTATGCAGGGATGAGAGCATTGATGCTGAGTGAGATAACCCACCTGCTAGGGCAAACAAGGGATGAACAGGAGTGAGTACAGCAAGTGGAATTCTGAAAAGCTGTTCTCTGGATATTATAGTTCCTCCCATACACCAACACACTCTGAAAAGCTGTTCTCTGGATGTTCTAGTTCCTCCCATACACCAACACACGGAAAGAAATTGTCTAAAAATCCTAAGCGGGAGCCCCTGGACAGACATCTTGAATCATCACTGATTTCGGACACATTCCAGTCAAACACTTGCACGAGATTGTGTCTCTCCCGCCTCTTCCTCCTCTGCCCATGGCGTACTCTTTAAGTCTGCAGGTGCCGTTTGGGAAAAGTTGGTTGCATGCGCAGCATCGCAGTGATGTGAACTTGGTGAACTCATGGAGGTTCTTAGCATCCAGCCATTGAGGGCGGCACATTTTTTTTAATCTATTATGCTGAGATTTTGTGTGCCAGACAGATCCACGGGCGTTGTGGGGGGGATGAGGGCAGGGTCAGTTTCGCAAGTAGGTTTGTCGACCTATCTGTACGTTCCCTCGTATGTGGGGGTTTTTCTGTGAGCAATCCGGTCTCCACCCGCACTCAAAATTCCTCGATAAGAGGCAAAATATCACGAGCCAGGACCCTCCCGAAAGCGTCTTGAGACTCGGTGAGGTTTATCCTCATTGAATGTTGCATTTGTAACAGTCATATAATCAATTGTCCACTTAGGCTATTAACTGATTATTGATTCTTTCGGTAGTCCTTTACTAGATTGTGTAATCGATTCCAGTTGAATTCTAGCAATGAAGGAATCACAGCGCGCATTCCAATGTGATAGCGCGTTGCGTACAGTGTATAAAACTTACAGCCCTCTCTCTAATCCACTGCTGGATGAACGCCTCGCCATGCTCTTATCGGTCATGTGGTGTGTGTCTGACCATACTTCTTCACACGCTGATCAGTGGGTTCGTGAAGGTCGCAATCGTTTTTGTTCGGCCATTGGCCATCTATGCCATGAAAACTAAATTGAACAGCCCCAAGTGTTCACCAGGTTTGTGACATCACAGTCATGTTGTGCTCCTGCAGTTTGCAAGGATATTGATCAGTTTTGTGGGTGGGAATGAATTGGTAATTGATGAGTAAGATCTGCAGACACACAAGTTGCCACTTTTGTTTATGATTTTAAAATGACGCTGTAAAGGCGGCGACGCTTTAGAGCCTCTGGCGCGCAATTATTGCGCATCTTAACAATTTGTTGATGAAGATCGATTCTTACGTTTGCTACACAGGTGGAATTGTCTGCCTAATATTTGATTAATTCCAATTTGTGCAAATTAAATTTCTATTTGGGACAAACCAGCTGGAACAAACAAGATAGAACGCACGAGTTGCACGTTACAACTAAAATTTTTACACAAATTCAAAATCAGAGTTTATTCTTGAATGCAAGTCTGACCGCAGATTGTAACGATTTACTGCATCGCCGCAGTGCGCAAGTGGCAAATCATTTCATGCATAACAGTTATGTTGGTTACATTTGTACATTTTGTAAATTAAGCTTGTGTTTCTGCAGATTTAAAAAATTTCCAAAGATAGAGTGGTTATGTTTCTTGGTGCTGCTTAAACATGTGTTACATTTCTGTCTTTTCATATGTATTGGTTTTGTATGCCAGTGGGTTTCAACTCCTAATCTGTGGACCACAAATACGTCTGCCAGTCAATTGGTTTCTGCTACAAACATGTGCCAGTCAATTGATCCGTTCACGCGGCGAATCAAGATAGCCTTGGAAATCTGGACTGGAAGTATGGTCTGTCAACTGGAGTTTGAGAGCCACTGTTTTTTCCAAATTGTATGTAATTTGGAAATGAAACTCCACCCTAATGTGCTGAATGAGACAATGTTTCAGTTTGCATCTTCAACCTTTTAATGAAATGTAATTTGCTGATGAACCAGTAATGCGTTTTAAATATCTACACCAGGTACCTTTTGTCTTCTGAACTCGAATCGGTTCTTCATTTTCATCATGAGAGTGGAATTTCATTCATATATCGTTGAGTATGACGTTTTAGTTTGTTGGTAAATTATATATTTAAAATGTTTCCTTTTAACCCCACATTTAATGCTAATGTGAATATCCATTAATGTTAACTTTTGTAGAAAATGTATGTTTAAAAATTGTAGAGTGACACCACTTAATCAGTATCCTTGCTAGGGCTTACTTAACTCTAGTGACAAACAGATGAGTGTTTATCATGACGCTAACTGCATTTATTTTAAAGTGCCATGTTTTGAACCGTGCTGTCAATGTTAATTATGCTGCTGGTCCAAACTTCCAGGTTGAGTGCGTCGCGTGTGATCGTCACGATTTAACGACGTCTAGGCGAATCGGGCCTGTCAGACCAAGCAGCGAGCGAGCGAGACAAAGCGATCGATTGCACGAGCCCAAAGAGATGATGAGGATGATGATGGTGGTGGTGGGGATGATGAGGCCGCTGATGTGACCTGCCCGATTGACAAGACGTGACGGGTGATCCTTCCCGAGTAAAGTCTAATCTAAAGCTGCGGCGGTCAAGCCTGTGGTCCGAGAGCGGTTTGGCGCTCGGTGTGAGCGCGTGGCGGTTGAGGGGGTGGGGAGACTCGGCGACTGGGCCTCCTAGAGAACCCCGAACCCCGCGCCCGGCACAAAATCGAGAAATCGAAGGCCGTCCCATCACTCAATTGAAGACGCCTAGAAACGTTGGACCGTCCATTAAGCCCCGACCCACTAGACCTTCTAGACTCGCTGCAGTGACCGCCGCCTGGTGTGCTGTTCGAAAAAGGTTGCTCTACTTAATAACATTTACAAATAACTTATCTTTTTTGCTGTAATATTTCTTCTGTTTAAAAGAAAAAATATACATACCAAAAACGGTTGTGCTGCACATAGACTTGCGCATGCACGCAATTCACAGTTACCTCCTGCCTCTGGCATCGTAGCTTTATATGCTGCGTTATTTAAAATCGCACACAAACAGACACATCTGCAATTTTTGTTAAATGCATAAGTACCGAGTAATACTAATTCTTCACATAGCTACCTCTGTCGCTTGCATGCACACACACCCACAATTTCTCCTGCACATCCCTGCAGGCTAAATTTAACCAATGCTGTAATTGCCATGCTTTTGGAGGCAGCTGCTGCAGCATCCCTTGCAAGACCGCCAGACAAATTTTGACATTCCTAAAGTGTTGTGCATTTCTGGGTACGTGATAACGAGACGCGCAATTGGAGCAACTTTTTTTCTGTTTAAAGTTATGGTCCTGCCTATTCCTCCGTCTGATGAGGCTTGTCATTTCTGATTTAGAGCTTTACCTGTATATATACACACATACATACTTTGAAGAGTTCTTTTAATTAGCTTTCAAATTGGCTGTTATTTTCCACTGTTGAACATTGAGATTGTAAACATTTGGGGAGATTGGAGTGGAAAACGCGTTGCGGGAACCCTCTTGCCGTCGCCCTGTTCGATTATTGTTTCAGTAGTGGCAGGGTAAAGCTTAGGAGGCTCAACATGGTCGTGCCAGAGCATTGAGCCGGCACCTCTGATATCCTGGCTTAGAATTCAGGCATCTACCCTGAATGAACTTGAGTAGAGTTGGCGATGCCTGTTAAGCCACGGGAACAAATTATGTGGTCAAAGTCACACACAAAAGTGCCTGCCTTGCCAAACGGGAGCTTTACATAGCGACGGATCTCCATCAGTGGTGGAAACTCCATATTTTTATGACAGACTGCTATCTACAAAGTAACAACCGCATGTTGGCTTCCCAGAAAGTGGGTCGTATCGACCCCAGAAGCGTGATGGGATGATAACTGCTCACAGAGCAGTGCAAATTCCCCAAGTAAGAGTATGGCACACAGAGGCGGATATTACAGAGCTACCTCTGAGGTGCCTTCAAGTGAGCTCTTGTCCACACAGTCGGGGTGCAGTACTTTCCCACCTGCCCTGCCACTGGGGGGAACGTTTAATGCACGACAGTAAAACCAATAATGATCTCGCTACCTGACCTCGACAAGAGAGTCGAGCAGCTCTACCAGAGCGCCACCTGGCTGGGTAGTTCCTCTTTACCCATTATGAGAGAGGTGGGGGGGCGGCGGCGGTAAATGGATTTCTCAGCGAGGCAGGCGACCGTTGGCAATCTGCTGGCACGAGAGGCCCTGGCGGCCGGGCAAAGCGAGGGCTGCTGCTGCTGCTGCTGCCGCCGCTGTCGTTGCAGCTGCTGCTGCTCGTGTGTTGATGTTGCGAGTTATCGTGGCTCACGTTCTCCTGCTCTAACCGGAGTCCTCCCCCCGCGTGTGCGACGGTGCCGGCGCGCAGGAGCCACTCGCGCTCCCGCTCGCACTCGCGCTCCCGTTCCCGCTCCCGCTCGCGAACTCGCTCGCGCTCCCACTCCCGAGGACGGCGCTACTCGCGCTCTCGCAGCCGGTCCCCGCGCAGGTACGAAAGCTCCCTGCGACCACACGCGACCCGGGGTGGGAGAGGTGCCTTTTGCAAAGGTCTCTCCACTGGCTGAGAGACCCTTGCAGTGACAGAATTGACTTTGTGCTCTTGAACACGCGTGCGAAATCAGTGCGGCTTAAATTTGTATCTTATCGAGATTTATCTAGCGCTTTTAGCGAGGCACTTTACAGCAATTATAAAATTGCACATAGCATGATTTTGATTTGAAATTAAGAATTGGGTTATTGTAAGTGGCGGTGTAGTTTTTCTACAGTTAAAACAAGAGGGATTGATAAGGAGGGGTTGGGATAGGCTTGATTGTAACTGGAGGGGTGCAACAGATAGCTGGGGAGCTGAAAATCAATTGGGCGTCATTCCATTTAGAAGGCAAAGGGGGTCGGGAGAGGGACAGGAGCCAGGAAGGTGGGGGGGGGGGGGACCGTGAGCGAGTTAAAGTAACTGATAATTACCGTTTGTGAGCCGTTTTGAAGTGGTAAGGTCTCAGGTGTGAGGTGAAGTTGTCGGTTCCCCCACCCCTGCGGGGTATAGTTTGGTAGACTGCACGCCAAGTTACCGCTCGCTAGTGAACGTATGCCGCGTGTAGTCGTGGTGTATGTTATGGGAAATGTCACTTATTCGTCTTTGACTCAGTCCATCAATCGCAGCGCTCACTCAAGCAGTTGTTCATCGTAAGGAGTTTTGAGAGTTCATTATCACCGCGTGGAATCAATAATATTATGTGGTTTTTAAAAGTATCCAAGCACTTTCACCATTGCCCTTGAGTCGGGATCGGTTTTGTTTAAACAATGAACATCCACATTTGAGATACAGTTATGTTCATTATGGGGGTGGACTTTATCCAGCATTAAGTCTGTAGCGGTGGAAAGTTGGCTCAGTGGGCCTAATACAACTCCTGTCGTGATCCATTGAATTAAATAGATCCTTACTCCCAAGATACGTGCATAAAATTGTGCGTGCAAGAATTGCTTAGGATTTATGTAAATTATTTGCAACTGTACCTTTAGGCTAATGGAACAAACGAAACAATGTAGGAGACGATACCTACAAGACATCAGGGGGGGGGAAATAGTTTTATGGTAGCGTTGTTAACATTGTGTTTTTTGCATTACTTGTAACCGTTATGTGACGCTGGTAGCACATGCGGAATGTAATTTTAAACCTGTGTATCACTAAAAATGTAATTATACCTATGTCAGTCGGGCGATGTGCCTTCTGGATGCGTTTGTTTTTTCAGTCTGCGTTAAGCAGGCAACCTGTGGACCAGTTTCCACATCTCTTAGAGTCTCGTCAGCCGGGTGTGGCTTGCTAAATGCTGCCGGGTTTCTTGGTAGAACCATTTCCTAGTTAAATAAAAAATAGGGATTTGTGAGATAGTATTTTCTGTAGTGCAGTGTTCTTCATTGCAAGGCCCGCGGGCCACTGGCATCCCCTGGTGGCGTTTTGTGCAGCCCCCGACAGTAGACAAATGTGAAAACACCCGCCATAATCATCGTGCTGCTGTAAAACCCCCCCAATGGTTTCATATGTGTGGCAACCCTCACACTGATGCTGTCTTATCGGCAAAAGTGCCCCCCCGCCTATGAAAATTAGTGAAGAACACTGCTGTCGGGTGAGGTAGTGTCAGCGACGAGCTGTAAACTGGATGTTACTTTCCTGCTGTCCACAGGTCTCGCTCGCGCTCGTACGAGCGGAGACGAAGCAGGTGAGAATGACGCCACCTTTCACACCTCGCCCACCTTACCGCAGACTTCACCTCTTCTCACACCACTCCTCTCAGACCTTCACACCCCGAACCCTCACCACTCTTTACCCCTTGTCTTACACCTTATCCCCAAACCTTCACCAGTCTTACCGCATCCCTTACACCTCATCCCCTGTCCCTCACCACTCCCCCGTATAGCCTTATCAGACTGCTGGGGGCTGGTGCTGTTAGCGAGCACCTATGAAGGCCAGAACGACACAGGAGGAGATGGGTGGCTAGCACCACACCTGGCCACCTTTGTTTCCCTATTTGTGATGTTTCCTACACACCGCGCCAGATACTCATTTGAGGCGACCTCGGGGAGGCCCAGAACCGATTCAGATCTCACTAACCCTCACCGCTCATACCCTTTCCCTTACACGTCATCCCCCTTATTTCTCACCGCTCATACCACTCCTCTCGGACCTCACCCCGCTGCTGTCAGACCTCGTTATAACGAACCCTTCCCCCCCCCACTCCCACCACGTCGGGTGCCGGCGGTGGCGCAGGTCCGGCTCGGAGCGGAGGCGCTCGCGCTCGTACTCCCCCCGGCGCCGCTCGCGCTCTGCCTCCCCTCGCCGCTCGCGCTCGGGGTCCCTGCGGCGCCGCTCGCGCTCCCCGTCTCCCGCCCCACGCTCCAGGTCGTCCGCTCAGGGGGGAGGGGGGTGAGAGAGGTCGGGCTGGCTTAGTCTCCCGCCACAACGGATTTCGGGTCGCTGGTTATAATCGAGATTTTTTTTAAATTTGCATATCCTGGAGGGGATCCCATGAGTTGTGAAGCTCTTTGTCACAGATGGCCAGAAGAGGGGGGGGGGGGGCAGCGGGTGAGCGAGTTTACACAGTCGACTGGGAAGTTGGGGGGGGGGTGCACGTTACTGTACGTACTGTTGAACTTCCTTCGCACCGTACGTAGCCAACTGTGCTAATTGAAGCTACGGTACAAGGACAGCGCAAATATCAGTAGACACGGGGAGAGGGATACCTAATTGTGGTCAGACAATGGATTGATTTGGCTTCGTTTTTCACTCGCTGTATTCTAGTTCGCTGGTAGGCCAGGACAGTAGGTGGTATGTTACTTGGTCGACATCGGCACAACGAGAGGTTTACTGGATGTCGTGTGCTGGTCACGGGATTATTTTCCTGATCACTAACCAATATAAACTAAACTTAAAACGAAACAATATTTTATTTTACCAGGCAAGGGGCAACTAAGCATACAGATCTCTTTCAGAAGTGACCTGGTTATCACAAATGATAGCTCAACGAAGTGGCTTTTGTGGAAATGTATAGCAGTCAAATACTTTTAAACGCATGTTTATTGTTTTCAAGAAATCGGTTCTTTTTGTCTTATTTTTGGCATTAATGACCAAAGTTTGAACTCAGATTGAATCCCAGTGGGGTTAAAATTGCCGGCCTGGTGCTGCGACACATGCCTTTTGTTCGCGCGGCCGGCTTCATGGGTGGCAGGGTGGCATTGTTAACCCTTGTGCCTTAGCAAGAAGGTGCCTGGGTTCGATTCCCGACCCGGGCCCCTTTCTGTGTAGAGTTTGTATATTTTCCTGCTGTTGTGTGCATGGGTTTCCTCCAGTTCCTCTCGTTTTCTCCCGTAGTAAAAAAAAACACACAATGCATCTGGTATTGGCCAAACATCCCAATGATAAATATTACCTTAAAGCACTCAATTGGGATCACACACAGCAACATCGACCTCTACTGCTAAAACCTGGCAGGACCCTCCTTAAAGTCTTGAGACTCAGTAAGGTGTTCCTTGGTAGACTTTCTGGGAAGACGAGCGTAACAATAAAATGGTATTCATGAAGCATGCGATGTTTGGAAGTAATTGTGAAGCATGCTGTCTATCGCTACCCCTCACCCTCCACCGTTTTGTCATTACAGCCGCTCCATGTCCCACCGCAGTGCCAGTGGCCGCAAGGACCTGGACTGATCTCGCTGGCAATGAGGAGGAGGAAGAGACACGATCACACAAAAGATAACTACGAGCAGCCCTGCCCACTGCCCGACAGAACAGCCACTACTGCGCTCGCACGTACACACACACGCACGCGCCTCGTCACTACCGCATGTAGCACCGCAACCAGTCCTTGCTCCTTTCATTTCCCCAACTCCTCTTGCCGCATTTGACCACCGCACAGCTGCAGAGGATCCGTGATAAGCCCTCGGTAACAGGACAGCCTCGCCTGGGTCTCTTATATCCCACTTTTTTTTTTCCACCGCACGACCGAACTGTGCCAGTGCCGTGCTCCTGGTTCTTTTTCCACTGCCAGGACCAGAGCTGCGCTGCTGACAGTCGCTTGTGTAACCTCCCGCAGGTGCGCCGACTTCTGCAACGTACAATGAAAATGGTCTCTTCTGTGTCCTCAACCCACCGAGCCAGATTTCATTGAGTTTCATGCTTTGGTTTCCGGCTCTGTTTGGCAAACAGCCAGTGGAAAAGTACCCATCATCCAGGGGGCCAGTGGAGAAGAGAGGTATCAGGAGAGAAGTCCTTAATAGTCATGTTTGACCAATTCCCTTATTCATGGGCACGTAACGATTCGGAGCATGTTGGCGATTTTGGTCGTGGCGATATATAACGGGGCAGGGGGTGGGGCGGTCACGGTTCGGGTTCAAGGATTGATTTCTCACGGTCTTATACCCTTTCGGTTGTTATTGCCAGCCTTGTTCTGGCTTTTCCTGGTCCTCTGCTAGCTGAAATCCACGTGGGCAAATTGTATAGATTGTACATAATCGGTTCAGGGGCGTTCGTCCGAGCATGATAATTAATTTTTATCCACGATTCGTTACACGCCTACATGTTAAGTTTTGTTTTAACGTGGCAGGAAGCTCCGTGCCCGGAGAGAGATAATTCTTTCTCCCGACTGCCCCAACATGCGACCGTTTCAATCCGCCGATGAGAGATTGCCAAACATCCCCAGGGTGTGACGACGAACATCTGGGGTCCATCCCATTGCTTGCAGGAGCTCCCCCTCCATGCTGCGGAATTCGATTCCCCGTCAGATAATTGACCGCCCTGACCGAAGGTAAAACAAAAATTAAAACATACCCGTTCTGCCTCGCCTTCACAGGCGAAAACCGAAATCAAGCTATGAAATGTACGGTTAGCAGATCAACTAATTGCTATTTTAATTTGCATTGGGTTAATGTTTTAAATGGCGGATAATTTTGCGTACAGGGTGGGAGGCGCGGCGCTTGGCTGCACCATTGGCCAGCACCGCGTCGGCCGACATTCACCCAGCAGAACTCCGAATCCTTCATCGACAACATCTCTCCAACACGACCTTTCACGCCTGTTTGTGGATTTATACATAACTTGACATTTCTTGTACGCATGTTGAACTTCTTTTGCACCGTACGTGGCCAACTGTGCTAATCGGAGGTGCGGGGGAAGGACAAACTAAACTCACGTGTGAGCACGCACACACCCAATATGATTCTGGAAAATAATTAGACGTTTTTTGTTGGCGTGTGGGAGGGATTGCGCCTAAATAACAATCCAGTCATACTATAGGCAAACGGAACACTTAGAATTTGCTGTGCAGGCAGCACATCGTCGGCCCAGTATGTGGACGTCTCGCGCACGCATGCTTGTGATCGGCCAACCCCTTATTCGCACATCCAATCAAAACCACGCCTAGTGTGGTTATATCGGTGTACGCTGTACAGCATATTACTTCCACGGGCTGTCAGAAATGTCATTCAAAGGAAGTTTGCGTGTGAAAATAACATGTAGTTGATTTTAGATACGAATGTGGTTTTATATTAAATCTTATTTTGTCCTTTAGTTCCTGTGGCTTTTTTATGGAGCTATGGGGCCCACATGCGCTCTACCACGGCGGAGAGGGCGGTGCGAGCAACAGCCATTGCTGCTTTACTTTTATTTTCTGTGCTCCCCACGTCTCTGTAACCCCCCCCCCTCCGCCTTCACCGACCTCCCCCACTGACCAGCGAAGCGCTTCACGGTGGGGGTGGAAAGCCCCTCATCCAGCAGTGGATTGACCAGGGCTGCGTGCGTGTACCACCTGCGCTGAGTTAACGCAACCTGCTTGGAGACGGGCACGAGCTACCAACATCTGGGTGCGCGCAAAGCTCCTGTTCCTGTCGTGTAGCAAGTAACTCGACAGGTTAAAATAATTTGTGAGTACGCAAACATGTGAAGTACTGTATGGGTCCTCAAACTCTCCGCTTTATCCAAGGCTTGTTTATACTACAATGTCGCTCTTCCTAACTTCACAGTTGAAGCGTTTGTGCAGCACAAAAATTGCATCAATGCTGTAGAGGCCTATTGCATTTTTATTAGGAATTGCAACTTGACCCATACCTAGCGGTGGTACGAGGACGCCGCTTTCTGCAAGCGATAGAGCTGCTCTCTGGCTCTGCCGCGAACACGCACTCAGCAAATCGCGTACCTTCACGATTTCACTTTGTAAGTGAATGGAGGGTGCTGTAAATAGCGGGCTGTGAAATCGTAAAATTGAAATGCGTTTCCCAGTCTCCCGCTTAAATTTCCGTCCCGCCTTGTTATCTTTTGACTCTGTACAGCAACCTCTAGGCCTGCTGTCCTCTCTCCTCGCTGACACCCCCCCCCCCCTCCCCGCCGCCGCCGCTCCGATTCATTCTTTACCTCTGCCCCTACTCAAAACAAGATAAGGCCGCGGCGTCCGGGCTAAACGCCGTCGCATCGACCGCCCCAAAACTCAAAACCGAGAGTGAGAGACGAGGTGCCGGGTTTGGACCGCGAGCGTTGGAGTCGCCAAGCCGCCGTTGCCTCCCGCCCTTTCCGCGGTGGAAAGCGTTTGCGGGCGCCCGGGCCAACAGTTGGTTCTTGCACTAAGAGACCTGGTGGCTCGAATGCAATCGTGCAACACGTGAAAGAGCAACGCGATCGCAATGTAACCCTGTAAATGAAATTTCAATGCGGCGTTGCTCTTTTTTTTTTTACACGTGCAAATTGTAATCGACCACTTCCCCCGTGTCTGTGCGCGACCGAGCGGGACAAATGAGACACGGGTGCCCCTCCCCCCCCCACCTATGGCGGACAAAGCATTGCAGAGCCTGATAAAACTGAAATTCCACCAGGCACGAACTCTGAACCGATCAGGAAGGGGTTCAAGTGGAAAAAGAATGCAATAAAGCGTTGAGAACTGCCGTACTTTTTTTTGCGCGTGTAAAACATCGAGACGCGCGAGTTGTCCCCGTCGTGAAATATGAAAGCTAAGAAAGGGCTTGTTTGTTAGGAATCGGCAAGTATATCCCCCCCGCCGGCCTCCCTACCTGTGCCCCTAGGCAAACGTTCTGAGGCCCCTCAGCATTTGTGGCTGGGTTCGACTCGCGCACGTGTGTGAACCGTGCAATGCTTCCCTCCGCTTGGTGTGGTACAATGCAAGGCTGTCTCCAGGGTTCGATTGTCATCGAGAACCGTAACTGCCACGTTGATTTTTTTTGTTATTTCGGTTTTTTTTCGCTTTACCAGGCTATGCGCGGGTTTTGTATAAAATGCCTAACGTTATGGAGCCAGTGGGTGCCACAGGTGCAATGTTGGTATTGCAAAGATTAAAGTGAAGGAATTTCATCGTTAACCTTGCCACGAGGACGATATGGGGAGCGTCAAAAGTCACTGCGTCCCCAAATTCAAATACGTTTTGGGTGGCAGTCTATTGGTGGCCCTGAGACAGTGATGGAAATTCCACATTCCTGTGGCGAGCATTGGCCTTTCTGTAAGACGAACGTTTGACATTAAGTGGTACTAATTTTACAGACCCCAGGGAGGCATGATGGGCTCGGGTGATCCCTGACCTAGATTTGAACTCTTAGCCAGAGGCGCCATCAAATCGGGGGCGAGGATGGCGGTAATTTCTGGCAAAGCACGTATGGTACACACCTGAAATTCGGCCATACATTTTCAAATACCTGGGGTTTATTTAAAGTTGTGTGTCATGGGATAAAAGCATAATCTATAGCTTCTTCCAGCATCGTGAACAGCCATAGATGTGTGCTTTGTGGTGCGATTGTCTCCTGAGTCCGTCGACTGTCGTTTGTTCGGTCATCTTGGGTGAAACCGAGTTTTTGCTGACAGCTTTTGAGTGTTTGTACTGTGACGTGAGCGGCTGATGCGGTTTACTTACGATGATTTGTTTTATGCTTCGTTTTGTTTACCCTCAATTTAATTTATATTTTTTAAAGTCGATAATATGTTCAAATCCCCCAAAACGTTGGCACGGATTTGAACGATTAATTACCCCCCCGCCCCCCTCCCCCCCGTTTGCGTTACTTTGATAAAAAAAAATAAAACCATTGTAAGAAGATAACCGAGGCAGAAATTTCCCCCGTTGGGACCCGCTGAAGTCCAATCCGTTCGGTTTCGGTTATCCAGCCCGGGTGTTTTTTTTGTGCCACCCAGCTTCAGCCTGATCAGACATGATGCCTTTTTATCTTGGTCAGCTGCTGGTTTGTTGAGTGAGGTGAATAAAAATGTTATGTTTGAGCCAGTCAAAGCAGCGTTGATATCCCAATCTTTTGATAGCACAGCGCTTGTCCTCGTTTCCACAGAAAAGATTCGCTCGGGTTTGGATCGATCGTTAAGGCGTTACGTGCCGATTTCACGCTGCCGTTAATTGTGTTTTGCCTCGTGTCAGCGTTTGCATCCAGATTGTTCACCCTCGTGCATGGATCGTAAAAATTATAACGTAAAACCGCTGCCCTGTACGGTGTTGACTAGAGGTCACTCGAATACCGAAGGGGTCTCAGGTAGCTCTGTGATGTCTGCTTCTGCGGGCCGTTAACTCACACGGTGGTTTGCGCTGCTCTCTGAGGCTTCCGAACAGACACCGCCTCATGATATGTATATGAGAGCGCGATTCGTCATACATTGGAGGTGGGAAATAACAAAGATGTGAAAACCCAAGCTAATTTGTTTTGGGTGTAATATGAATTTGTCAGGATTGCCCCCCCCCCACCCCCTTCCGTCAGATCTGTTGAAAATATTTAATCATTCACAAACAATCTGGTCATGTTCTCTGCAGTGGACTCCATCGGCCACCTTCGAATACCAACAAGCGCTGCTTCACCCAGAGCTTCTGCCGTGGTAGCCGCCTTGGCCACCACTAGGCGGCAAACACGGAGTAAGATGATGTCCTTCAGAGGGAACTTGCACCAAAAATATTTGAGGCGTGTGCGCAGTACGTCGACAACCGTGACGTTGCGTTCAATCGCCGTCAGTTTTCTGTGGCATCGCTGAGACGATAACGTCGGCAAGTCGTAGCGGTCGACGGCAGTGGACGCGGTGCACGAGAGGGTTAATCTGGATGTTGACTCGGCAGTTACCCTGGACGAGGGGGATGAACAATGTGTGTGGAGGGTTTTTTGTTCGTCTTCTGTGTTGATTTGCATCACTCCCGTCATTGTGTGGTATACGTGTGGCGGTGTGATCTTTTTTTTACTATTGAGTCGATGTTATGATATTCGTGCTGACGACGATGACACCCCGTGCGTTAATAACCCGGCAGGTTACCGTGAATTTGACACGAAAACCCCTCGCGGCCTCTCGTTCCCCCGCACCTCGAGTGGACAACAACGAAAACGCCACCGCGTGAATTTTTTGTGAGCGAGCTGTTGACCATCTCTCCCCATTGCGTTTTCCGGTCCCGACTTTCCACTGCGCCTGCCTGGCAGCTGCCTTGGCGAGGTGTTAACGACCTCGCCTGGAATGCAGGAGGTCGTGGGCTCGATGCCGACCCTGAGGCCTGCTGCTGTATATTTGGAGTGTTCGTGTCGATTTTTCTCCGGGTCTTCCGGGTTTTCCCTCCACATTTCACATCAACATCACGTGTTTTACAGTATTTGGCTGCTATAAATGTCCACATGATAAGCCACCCTGTTGAGCTATCTTTTGTGGCTGGGTCGCTTCTGAAAGATATCTATATAGCTCATTGGGCCTTACCTGGTAAAATACAACAAATGTAATCGAAATCCATCGTTGAGAGTCTCATGTATGTTGAACTCTTTTCTTACCGGACGCAGTCGATCAGTTCCATTCAGCCCATGGCTGTTTTTTAGGTTCAGTGGGTAAAATAAGTTGAAGCTTATTCATTTAATCATTTGGGTACTGAATTCAGAAGCGCGCAATCTTAAGGAGTACATTTTGCCTTGCAAATTCAAATTAGTGTGAAGCTCCCGGCAAATGGGGCGAAACGTCAGACATCGTGCTGAACAACACGCGGTACACCCTAAAAACGCATCGGAGGTCTGAAAATTACTTTTGAATTTTACATTGTCACAAAAACCTTCCGACTATTGTACGCATGGTGCTGAATGTACATTCAAGATTTGAAAAAAAAATAACGCTTCCAAGAATACACCGCAGCCGTTCTTTATACACCCTGGCGAACGCCGCGCAGTCCCCTTGCTGTTCAGCAGCTGTAGATTGGGCGGGTAACGGGGAGTCGAATCGATCCGTTCCTCGCCGACACCGACCTTGACGGGAGACCGCGCGGGGACTGTGTCCTGGCAACGATTGCGAGCCCTCGTTTTTTTTTCTGGCTCGATTTTCTTTTTTTTTGTTATATTTCGTTTTTTGTTGCGTTTATTGGTTTCGAAGATGTGAACGAGCCGAGGCTTTATTCTGTTTTTGAACAGCCAGAGCCTCGAATAAAGCCGAGTGATTTCACTGACGCCGAGTCGGTTGATTGAGATGCTTCTGTCACTTATTTTTCTCTCTCAAGTGCGCAGACATTGAGTGGTGGCAGCCGGGGGTGGGAGCAGCTCAGAGCAGCGTCGCGTTCTATGAGGCGACAACAGTGGCGTCGTGGTGCATGTACAGACGTCCTTTCAGTCCACTGCTGGATGAAAGGGCCCTCCCCATGGCACGGTAGCGAGATGTTAACTACCTTGCCTGGTATACAGGAGGTCGTGGATTCGATCCTGACGCCTCATGTATAATTGGAGTTTGCACGATCCATTTCCCCGTTGTCGCGTGGATTTTTCTCCGGGTCCCCCAGGTTTTCCCCTCCACGTTTAGACTCGACGCCATGCGTTGAGTCGAGTATATTTTTTGCCTGCTGTTAAATTTCCACGCCACGAGCCCGCTTCGTTGAGCGATCGTTTGTGATAGCCAGCTACGTCGCCCAGTGGGGCCTTACCTGGTAAAATGAAATAGTTTAGTTGATGCCGCGCGGGTTGTTGGCACATACTTCACCGCGCAGGTCAGCATGGATATTTGTGAAGGCGGGCAGAATTGACGGCAATGGATTTGTTTCCGCACTGGATCCCCTGTTGCCCCCCGTGTATCCCCACAGCAGCCTACAACGACATGCTGTCGCCAGCGCAGAACTGCGAGGGATGGAGACGGTGCCGTGCAGCCCTTCGTCCTGCAGTGCATAGATAATGGCCGATGATGGTGATGATGGAACGTGATAGAACGTGAGCGTCTTTAAACACTACGGCTCTGGATCAGACAAGGCACTCCACGCCTCTAGGGCAGTGGTTCTTAACATTTACTGCAGCCTTGCCCCCCACCCCTCCACCCTTTGGTTCTCAATCCTTTAAAAAATTACAATGTTAATAAACACATACGGTTTGATGAAACAAAGTAGTGGTTGTACTTGCGTTGACCGTGCTTAATTTGTGCTTTCGATTATTCACCTAAAAAAAATCTGTCCCGTGTCTCGCTACCCCCCAGAAAGGGCATCTCGCACCCCCAGGGGTGCAGCGTGCACCCCAGGTTAAGAATAAGAACGAGCTTGGGCCACCTGGTCTAAAATCACATTCCCTCTGCCCAACAATGCTGACGGGAGTGAGCGGAGCCTGGGCGTGGGGTGGAGGGGGACGTGTTGGAGGGGAGCGGCTGTCGGGAGTTGTGTTGGCACGGGAGAGAGAGCACAGATGCTCGAGAAACAGCTGCGTGTTTGGCAGGCGCTGGACAGGGTTTTAGTTTTATTTGATTGAGTTGGTCACGCACAGTGGCGTGGTGAGGACGGCGTTTGTGGCGTGATTCACGGTGTGGTCTCGGATCTCGACGCTCGCCACAGCCCCCGTTCTCAAAATTGATGATGACACGGGTAAGCTCCGAGCGGCGCCGCGGAATGGGTCTGTCGGTCTGGGTTTTGTTTTATTTTCGGTGTCCTGATGTGTCTTGCGGGTGAGACGAAGTTGCGTTTGGAACTCGGGAAGTTGACGGTGCAACAATCGCCCCGATGTCGCAGAGCAGCCTGCCCTGACCAGAGACCTACCTGGCTGGCTATTGTCCGTAGACCTCAGCTGAGACACACCAGTCTTGTCTGCCGATTAAATTTTTTTTTATCAGAATCTGGTCCACAGCCACAACACCTGGACGGCAGCCGCATGAGATGGTGGTTCGTCTGCTGACGAATGCTCGTCAGGTAAAAGCATGGGACACGTGATGACTGCAGAGGGAACACGTTCCTGTAGCACGTTTGGACGATTAACGCCACATCAGTTTACCATAACCTTGTCGTATTTTAGCGTTTCTGTACGATTGTTGCGTGAAGAAGCGCCCAGCACGTCGAGCGAAACGTCGGGACATAGCGAGCAACAGGCGGTTCGTACTCGATAATATCTAGGATGGCTTTAAAGCGCAGTAGCAATGAGGCCTTTGTGTGTGTGTGTGCAGTGGGAAGCGGCAGTGTCGTAATTAGCGCACTGCCATACGAACCCGGTTGATCCCAGTTCGATTCCCGCTCACGACCAATAGCAAGTGTGGCGAATATATGAACCGGTTCTGGGCTTCCGATAGGTCAACTCAGCCTAAAATAAGTGCCTGGTGTGGTGCATCATAATTTACATTTGTAAGCTGGCGCATTTCATCCGTGTGTGGCAAGCCGGGAGATTTACAGAACCTGCAGGGTGTACGGCCACAACGAGGGGGCTGAAGGTCAGTTTAGAGAATTGAGTGTTGTGGACAAGACTTACAAGCGTCAGCACTGGGGAGACGAAGGCGGCCGGGCGTGGTGTTGCTCGCTAACACCACTTGTCCCAACACTCCCTTAAAGTCTATACGAGGGGAGGAGAGGAGAGGGATATTTGGTCGTTTTTTCTTTATCAGAATCTGGAAGAAATCCGATGAGCTGTGAAGCTCTTTCCCCCCTTTAGATGTTCCCAGTAAGGGGCACGGGGTCAGAAGGTTGCGCTGACCACAGAGGCCCCACGGCAGTGCGTGGGAACTCGCCAACCCCCGCTGCTTTGCTGATATTTATTTATTTTATTTTCATTATCTCACCACACGTGTGAGACACATGGTGGAAGACCCCCGCTGTGTCTGTGATGACGACGGCGGTGGTGGTGGTGGTGGTGTGGGGAGCTGTGGTGGTGGTGTGGGAGCGGTGGTGGTGGTGGTGTGGGGAGCGGTGGTGGTGTGGGGAGTGGTGGTGGTGTGGGGAGCAGTGGTGTGGGGAGCGGTGGTGGTGGTGTGGGAGCGGTGGTGGAGTGGTGGTACTATCGCTACTACTACCCTGATTACTGATCCTATTAACTTGCTGACCTATTTACGCCAGGTGTGTATATATAGGTGTATATGTATATATAGGTGTGTATGTGTGTATGTAGGTGTATGTATGTATATAGTGGGGAGCGGTAGTGTGGAGCGGTAGTGTAGTGGTTCGCGCGCTGCGCTATGAACCTAGCGACCCGAGTTCGATTCCCGCTCAACGCCCAACACCAGTGACGAGTATCTGAACCGGTCCTGGGCCTCCCCTAGGTCGACTCAGCCTCAAATGAGTACCTGGTGCGGTGTGTAGTAAACATCGCCGCTAGGGAGGCAAAGACGGCCGGGCGTGGCGCTGGCCACCCACCCCCTCGTGTACCGTGCTATTCCCTAACAGCACTTTCCCCGACAGTCCGTTAGTGGCTACACGGGGGATCTTTGGTGTCGGTAGCGCAGTGGTACAATCCCGGCCGGCGACTTGAGTTCGGTATTTTAAGCAAAGCTCCTGACGATGTCTTGGAGTAAGGATTATTGGCGTAAGGCACTACCACGAGAGTACTGTACAAGATACGCCTATCCATAACAAGCCTACATTATTGTACCCTATAATCTTATGCTAACAGCAATATGGATGTTGTCGTTGTTGTTGAATTACAGATGATTCTGAAATAGGATGTATCATGCGCATGACGATGATGATGGATGGTGATGTCGATGCATCGTGATGATGACAGATGATGAACAATGACTGATAAATAATAATTGGCTGAGTCGACTCTCAGCCCGGGATTGAACCCATGGCCTTGCACTCAATGGCACTCAACTCACGTTATCCCTCCTGTAACGTGGAAGGCAGTCGATGTCTCAAGGCGGATGTTTGAGGAAGGAATGTGTTTTTGAATTAATAATAGTAGCAGTGTGTTTGCAAGAGTCTTCAGTGATTGTGCACACAAGCGCGTGCCTGTGTGTAGAGACAGGTGTTTGTGTACCGTTCATAGGCGCTGCTGCTCGCTAACAGCACTTGCCACTACAGTCTGGTATAGGCTACACGGGGGATCTTTGTCTTTGTTGTTTGTATAAGCGGCGGTGGAGTGGTCAGCGCGCTGTGCTACGAACCCGGTGACCCGAGTTCGATTCCTGTTCACGGCCAACACCCAGTGAAGATTATCTGAACAAGTGCTGAGCCTCCCCCTAGGTCGGCTCAGCCTCAAATGAGTACCTGGTTGCGGTGTGTAGTAAACATCGCCACTGGGGAGACAAAGGCGGCTCGGGCGTGGTGCTGGCCACCCACCCCCTCGTGTGCCGTGCCGGCCACCATAGGTGCTGCTTGCTAACAGCACTTTCCCCAACAGCCTGTTAAGACTATACGGGGGATCTTTGTCTTTTTGTAGAGGCGTGAATAGCTGAGCCGGGTGCACACTCGCACGCGTGGAGCACGATCCGGACTTTGAGACCGAGCAGAATCAGAATCGGTATTTATGCTGCAGGAGGAATCCGATGAGGTATTAAGCTCTTTTTGTTCACAGATGTCCAGGTAGTTTCAGTTTCATTTATGTTGGTATAGCCCTGTGAGCCATTCGGCTCTTGAATCGGGTGCAACCGCAACAAACAAAAAACAAAATATTCCTGAAAAAGCACTGTACACCAACGCTGTGTGCAAAAATCCCAACAACAACAACCACAAGACAACTTAGTCTAACTCCGTACTACAGCAAACAAACATGGCCAAACCAAAAATCGTTTCAAAATCACCAAAATAAAGCCATAAATGCAATGTAACAGTGATCATAGGGACTGTGACCGAATTTTTTACAATAAACTACATAAATAGCATGTAACACCAAACCCTAGACTCCTAGAGCCATAGTTGGCTGCATGAGTCACTCCACAACAACAGGAGCATCAGTCGGAGTATCACATTTTTCAATGCACCTTTAAGATCAGCACACTAAATCAAAATACAAATAATACTTTGCAGCGTCATCCGGAGCGAAACATTTTATTTTATTTTAGGCCACTGAATAGCAGTGGCAGCTAGGGGTGTACAACTCCTCTAGAGCAGTTTTGAGTGAAGATCTCATAGGTAGTGATTCAAGTTGCAGTTTATTGGCAATAGCATTCCAGACCCTGGGGGCATCAATAGCAAAGGCCCTTCCTCCAGTTTTGTACGGCAATAGGGAATGTGAAGCTGGTAAATGAGCGAAGACCTGAGGTCAAATTTGTTCTTTGAAACAGAGAGGAGATCCAGCAGGTAGTCTGCGGATTTTTTTGTAAGTACATCGTGAATAAATAAGATCTGGTGCACAAGCCGTCGAACATTAAGAGATGTTAAGTTTGACCCAATGTAGATATCACAGTGGTGAGTCCTATATGGGCAGTTCAATGCAAATCTTAAGGCCGAGTGATAGATGGAATCAAGCTTTTTCAGTACAGTACTTGGAGCTGATTTATACACGATGTTACAGTAATCAAGTAGAGGCAGTATGGTAGCTTTTATCAATTCCAAACGGAACATTGGGGGAAAGCAGTGCTTGTGTCGATACAGAAAACCAATTTTTATTTTTGTCTTTTTTACCAATATATTCAATGTGATCTTCAAAATTCAGTTTTGAATCCAGGATGACCCCAAGGTACTTATAGATCTTGACTTGCTCTATGTGATTATTATTTAAGGAATGTAATTGGGGAAAAATAACTTCCTGCTTTAGTCCTGGTGAGAAGCATAGCACCTTGGTTTTGGAGGCATTCAAGACTAGTTTAAGAGCAACTAGCTGATGTTGTAGTTTGTTGAAACCACCCTGAAGCTTTGCAATGACATCATCCGGAGAGCGGCCAGCAGTAATCAGTATCGTGTTATCTGCAAAAAGATTTACACTGGAATGATCCAGGTCAGTGCCCAAGTCATTAGCATAAAGAGAGAACAAGTAGGGGCACGTGGGTAAGAACGTGACAACAAGAAACAGTCACGCAAAAAAACACGACAGTGGTGCAAAATACAAGAAAGGTACATTTTTTAAAATCACTTTTTCAAAAGCGACCTGTCCACGAATGATAGCTCAGCGAAGAGCGACTCATCACCGCGTGGACATTTATAGAGCAGCGAAATCTAAACGCATGTTCCCTGTGACGTATTGCATCATAGCAACTACCTGGACCACAGGACTGCTCCCACAGGATTTGAAGGGTGCCCTGGCGATCAGCCTCTCTCACGAAAGTGAGGCGTGCTCACTGATTCTGTTGCATCGTTTGTTGTCCTTCCCCGCACCTCCAATGAGCACGGTTGGCTTACGTACGGTGCGAAAGAAGTTCAACATGCATACAAGACGAAGGCCGTAACAGGCTGTTGGGGCAAGTGCTGTTAGCGAGCAGCACCTATGAAGGTTAAGCACAGCACACGAGGGGGTGGGTGGCCAGCACCACGCCCGGCAGCCTTTGTCTCTACCCAGTGACGATGTTCACACAGCAGTCCAGGGTACTCATTTGAGGCTGAGTCGACCTGGGCGGAAGCCCAGGACCGGTTCAGATAATCGTCACCGGTGTTGGCCGTGAGCGGGAATCGAACTCGGCTCACCGGGTTCTTAGCGCAGCGCGCTAACCACTGTGCCATCGCTCGCCACA